TTCAACCCCACACTCCCTCCTCTCCCCTCACCCCTCTCTGCCCCAAAGCCACCTCCCTCGCATCATTTTCCTATTACTATCTCTTTTTAGGTACTCGTCGCCATTTCTCTTTTCATAGAACAACATTCTCCTTCAACCCCTCTGACCACCCTTTAATGTCCGCTAACTGTAGTTCTAGTCTTTCACAAAAGTCTCTCATATCTTCTGGGAATCTCAGTATTGCCGATTTGCCATCCTTCCACCCGATCAAGTATGGAGGGAAACCCCAACTATAACGGACTTGTTTCTCTTCATCTGGTCCAATAGTGGTTTTAGGAGTCTTCTTGCAAGTGTCTCTGGGGATATCTGCGAAAAGTTGTACTTTATTTCTCTGAATTTTACTTCTGATAGCCCACGCAGCTTCTACCAGATGTGTTCTTTATCTTCGTAATGATGGAAATGCACTATCACGTTTCTTGGGGTATTTGATGTTACTCTTTGGGACCTGCTTATCCTATGCACTCTGTCTACTTTTAGCTGTTCAGTCTCTGCTCTCCCTATTATTGGATTAAATAATTTCTTAATCTTTTCCGGTAGATCTTCTCCTTGAGAAACCTCTGGTAAACCCTGAATTCTCAGATTGTCTCTTCTATCTCGATTTTCCTGATCCTCCAATTTATATGAGAGCACTCTCTGTTCTCATTTCTTCCATTTGCCCTTCTAATTTATGAATTATCTGATCTTGTTTCTCAAAATTTCTTTCAGTTTCTTCTACTCCTGACAGAATTTGTCCCATATCCTTATGTAATACTGCCATATCGCTCTTTATGGAACTTTCCAATTTTGCAAACATCTCTGCAATTTCTAATTTTGTGGGCATTTGCTCTTCTGATCTTTTTCCTTTTTCAATTTCCGCATCTGTGACTTCTTTAGACAGGTTCTTATCTATTGCTCCGAAAGATAATCTCATTTGATCTCCAATGTCGCTTACTTATCCTTGTCCTTCAGGGACTAAGTCCTCTGGGGCTTTTTTCCCTGTAAAGACATGTACCTCTTTATTGTATTTGTATTTAGGCTCGGTTGGGGAGTTTGTGTACCTACTCCTTTAGCTGATCTGTTCTTCATCTTTTCAATGCTATTCCTTGTCTGCTGGCAGAATGATACTATCAGAGAAGTTAATCCAGCTTTTCCTGAGCCCCTTTTAGTTATAGTCCATTTGCCACTTACTGGGTGCCCCCTTAACCATTAAATACTTTTCACCATTCCACCAACCTCTGAGACCGTTTGCTTACTTCTATTGTTCTCCTCTCATCTTCCAGTAACAGTAGACAGTCATAATAACAAAGGGGATTTACCACCTTCTGCGGCAACTCACCCTCTCCGCCTTCAAGGCACTTCCTCCAACTTCACCTCCGGCACTGGGGTACTGGGTTTTGATCTTCCATGGTCTCCAGAGGTGCCTCTGGTGTCGGGGGTCATCCTCCACACAGGCCACCGCTCCACAGAACCATACTCTGTCCTCCGGTTACTCTAAGCTCCGGGACTCCCCTCATCCGACACCTAACCGGTCGCGTGGTCACTCCTGGCGTCTCACTCTCCTCTGTCGGACCTTTCCTCCCCCTCAGTTGCACAGCAGCTCACCGGTCTCCCTCTGCTCCAGGGCCTTGACTCCTAGGGACACTCCAGGCCAGGCATACAAGCCTCTCTGGTCAGGACTCCCCTCAGACGTGTGCAGGGTGAGTGGGAAGGTGCTTAGCTTATTGGCATTCTACTGCGGGTGTCAGGAGCTCCTAGCACCTACCACCTCTGAGCTCCATGTTTGCGCCCCACCCGGGGAGCTGTCCAGTGGGGACTTTTACCAGGAGAGGGACAGAACCAAGGTGGCAGACCCCAGGATATTTGTTAGCAAGGTAGAAAGAAAAAAAGGTTCATGTTGGATCCTTGAGCAGCAAAAACAGAAAAAAGAATGCAGGCAGTTGGGTGGGGCTTAAACTTATAAGGTAGTCAGCCTTATGAGGTAAGAGGTGGTGGAGCTTACCCACAAGTATGCTACCATGACTGTGCCAGGAAATTAAATGGTGTGGTGAAAAGCCGCCAGACGCAAACTTGGTGGGAATGAGTGCTTAGGGCCCACAAGATACGAAATCTGGCTTTGCCACTGTACCTGGCTTTTTATAGCAAGACTTGCCTCTCCTTATTAAAGCTGAACATGTATGATCTTAATTTTATACTTACATTGGTCCAGCAAGGACCAATGTAAGTATGCATATCTTATTCCTGAAGGAATGCTGTGGAAGCTGACAATTACTGTAGTAGCTGGCAGTACTACAATAATCGTTGCAATCTTCTAAGTTCTGTGTCAAGGGGCTGCCCTACTGTGCACTGCCCACAGGGGGTCACTCCCTTGGCACTTTTAGTGGTATTTAATAACCACTAGTCTTTATTTTATTTTTTTGCTATACAAATTAAAAAAAAAACTAAAAATTTTGAAAAAAAACAAGTTTTCCTTAGTTTCTGTTATATAATTTTGCAGATAAATAATCTTTCTTCAAAAAATGTAGGCAAAATGTATTCTGCTACATTTCTTTGGTAAAAATAACCAAAATCAATATATATTATTTAGTCTGTGTGGAAAATTATAGAGTATACAAACTATGGCATATATATATTTGAAAATTGTACTGACGGTCTATCTCATTTATTAGACAGTCCAAAGTATTTAGTAAGAGGCATAGCAAGTTTTATAAAGTTGTAATTTTTTTTTTTTAGTCACAATTATTTGTAAAACGACAAAATTATTTTTTTTTTCTACTTACTTTTTCCATACGGTCACCAGTGCAGTGCAGCATTATCATATGACTGGTGTGCAGTGATCAGGAATACTGACTGGTAACAGTATTAAACATTTTTTTTTCTTACTATATTATACATATATATCTTTTTAATATACAATCAGGGGTGAACACTGTAGCAGCAATCGTTTGAACTATCATGAATGGATTTAATTCTTAACAGCTATGATATCTCTAGTGATGCTGTGATTGTTCCACAGCTATCACATGGTACAGGGTGCTGTGAATGGCCCAAGTACCATGTGATAGCTTTGGGACAATCAGAGCATCACTAGAGATATCATAGCTGTTGTGAATTAAATTAATTAATAACAATTTTATTGACAAAGTGTTCATGAGATCGCATAACAATCAGGATTCCCCAGCCGCTCTATTCGGCTAGGTATGGGGAACTGAAATCGTTAACCGGCATGGAAGCAGAATGCTGAACGCTCCAGGGGGCCTTTTAGTGCTCATCAATGTATACGTATATTTATGCTGCTGAGCCTGGCCATGTCAACTGCCCACAGTAAAGCCCTGTACGACAGAATACAACTTTGGAAGTGATGTGATGTATTGTATTGTAATGTATTCTTTAGTTTCAAAACATGCTTGGTCTTGATCTTCCGTTTTTTTTCAGATGATTTTTTTCTCGTTCTGGTATCGTACGAGAAAAATTTTCATGTTTGTCCCATCAGATATTGTCGCATGAACTGTACCAACGATTATCAGATTGCTCCTTGTACGGAAATTTTCATACAATTTTCTTATCATGTATATGGGCCTTAAAAGTACTTTGACCGGGCGGAAAGAGGTTAAAGCAGAACTGTGGCCAAGTATGGACATACAAATATTTACATATTCTAAGCAAGCAACAAATAAACGTTAACACAAACCCACACTGACCTCTGTAGCTTTACCAGCAATGTGGAGTAGGTAATCCTTACATTTCAAAACAAAAGGTCATTAAAGTTGGGTCTCGGCACTCAGATGTCTCCTATCTTCCTGTGCACAAGCTCACTAAAGCTGGCTTTACACCTATATGTTGTGGTAATGCACGCCACTTTGAGTGCACTCTACCTGACTAAAGCAATACATGGTAATGCACTATCGTGTGCTGTAATGCGCTGATTTGGCAAAAATCGTGCAGGTCTGAATTTAGGTCTGTTGTGGACAGCCTTAACATGTGACATAACACACATACATTAATACACCCCACTAGACCACCCAGGTGTGAATGGGGCCTTAAGATAAATGAAAGTGAAGGTGCTTTGCTGCAAAATTTGAGGACAAATTACTCCTCAGTGCTTACAGTTACATAGGTAAGCAAGAACTTTTTCTAAAGCTTATTTCCTGCTTTTTAAGAATATGTGCATTTGACTGTCCATAGACTGGCAGAGTTCTAGTTTTATTGTACTTACTACAGCTTTCATATTGAATTGTACTGTATTCAGTACATGTACTGGTGTAGTTTTAGATGTGTGCCTACAACCAAGAAGAACCTTTTACTTTTTATGTAGTAAGATTTGTGAATATAGTTTTTAATTCAGTGTTTGACTTTATTGAACACCATTCATATTTTTGCTTCTCACATCTCTCCTTAAAACTGGTTTGCAACAAGTTATTTTCCTTTTGATGTACATTTCATTTGATGGCCAAGATTTGTGAACACATAGAAATCAATGTCAACATTTTTGGAAAATAAATGTCATTAAATAAGGGAGAAACATTTGCTGCAGATAAAGGAAAAAAACACAGCTCAAAGATCGGGCTACAGTAAATGCCCAGTGCATTTCACATTTTATCCTTCAATGCCATCAGAAAACTGGCAGAGTAGTGCATTTAAAGTGGTGTAAGTTTACCAGTGTGGCTCATTCCTGGGGGTTGTTTTCCCAAGATCATGTGCAGAAAAAAACTCATTAAATTAAAAAAAAAAAAAAAATGTTCAGAATAAATCCAGTAGTATTTCCCATTGAAAAAAATCAGTTCAAGTATGTTCAGCCTCAGTTCTCTCAGAAGAGCAAAATAGTTGGTAAATCTACTAAAATATCCATTTATTTAAAAGCAGTTCAAGGTAGCAGCTTTGTCCACAAAGTAAACCAGCAGTGGTGAAAAGGACAGTTCAGCAGCTTTAACTGCTGCACAAGTGAAATAAATTCCTGGGCGGAAAACAAGATTATAGCACGTCAGCTATAATAATTCCTCTCTTTGGTTTTTGTTTTTGTGAGAGGCTTGTCCATTGCGCAAAGAACCATTCTGAGGTCGGAGCAGTTTTCCCTTCTCTCGATCTGACCAGGTGTAAGCATTGTCATCACTGTCTATCTCAGATTCAGAATGCATCAAGCTTGTATTTTGAACTGGAGATTTCATTTTTATACCTGTTGAGGGAAAAAAAGGTTAAAATAGTCTAACCAAAAGCAAAGAATATTAACTATGATGATGGTTCCCTACAGTCAAATGTACATATAGACCTAAAGTAGAACAAAACTATAGATCAATACAACTAAAGTTCGCCCAAAGCATCCCTGTCCAATGCCAACACTGCAACAGGAAAAAAAACTTGATATTTCTAGGCCATTAAAAGAGTTACTGATAGTCAATGCTTGCTTCTAACACTCAAATAGCTGTAAGCAATAATTATATTTATAATCATCAAGCAAAGTGTTAAAAAAAATCAATATGTTTCGCAGCAATTTATGTTGAACCAAGCCAAAAAATACTTAAAGCAGAGCTCTACCCAAAAGGGGAAGTTTCACTTTAAAGACTGGTCTCCTGCTCCCCATTAGAGATTGGCACCTTTGGGGAGCGGGTACCTGAAATTGACAGGTACTCACTCCCACTTCTGCTACGATCACCTATGCAATCGGAAGTGGAAAATGTCCTCCAGTCCTCCCTCCCCGTAGTCTTCTGTGACACGTGACAGGTCCCAGAAGACTACGGGACCATTCAGAAAGCGCAGCTCTACTTGCACGTGCGCAGTGGGCACCCATCTGTGAAGCTGCAAGCTGTCACAGCCAGGTGCCCACATTGAAGATGCTGACGCTAGGAACACAGCACGGCCGGTAAAATGGGCTGCGAGGAGGATACCGCGGGATCAAGGGACAGGTGACTATTTAAAAGTCAGCAGCTACACTTTTTGACTATTTTTTTACAGTGTGACTGGAACTCCGCTTTAACTGTTACCATTTTTTTTTTTTTAAACTACTGTGTAATGAAGTACAGTTTACGCATACCTGGTAGCTATAAGGTTCCATTCACACTTGTGCAACTCCAAAGTTGTGCAGTTTCCATTGTGACTTTGATGCAACTTTGGATGGGTGTGACTTGGATGCAACTTTGGCTGTTAACATTGGCTTTGACTGTTGCACAACTGTCACATTGATAACATTAAGATGCGACTTTTGAGAATTTACATTGTAGCCTATGGCACTCAAGTCACATGGAAGTCCTATCAAAGTAGTGCAGGAACCTTTTATAAATTGCACAGATTTGAACGGCTTCCATTCAAATACTGTGACTTGTCATGCAGCTTTATGTGTCCAAAGTTGAATGACAAGTCGCTCAAGTGTGAATGGAGCATTAAATGATGATGTACTGTGAAAGAACTTTGCTTCTACTTGTTAAAATGTTTATTGGGCAGCATATATTTTCAATAAAAGATCCATGATTTAAGTATAAATAGGGTTATATAGCTCTGCTCCTGTCCCGAATAAAATATTTATTTATTGTGTATCAGAAAGAAAATACAGTGAAGGAAATAAGTATTTGATCCCCTGCTGATTTTGAATGTTTGCCCACTCACAAAGAAATGATCAGTCTAATAATTGAATGGTAGGTGTATTGTAACACTGAGAGACAAAATAGCAACAAAAATTCAAAAGAAATGCATGTCTAACAAATTATGAACTGATTTGCATGTTCATGAGGGAAATAAGTATTTGATCCCCTATCATTCAGCAGGATTCTGGCTACCAGGTGTCTTTCATTCAGGTAACAAGCTGAGATTAGAAGCAGTCTCTTAAAGTGAGTGCTGCGAATCTCATTTTGTTACCTGTATAAAAGACCCCTGACCACAGGAGCAATCAAACAATCAGATTCCAAACTCTCCACCATGGCAAAGACCAAAGAGCTGTCCAAGGATGTCAGGGACAAGATTGCAGACCTACACACGGCTGGACTGGGCTACCAAACTATCGCCAATTAGCTTGGTGAGAAGGTGACAACAGTTGGTGCAATCATTCGCAAATGGAAGAAACACAAAACAACTGTAAGTCTCCCTAGGTCTGGTGCACCACGCAAGATCTCACCTTGTGGAGTGTCAATGATCATGAGAACAGTGAGGAATCATCCCAGAACTACACGTGAGGATCTTGTCAATGATCTCCAGGCAGCTGGGACCACAGTCACCAAGAAAACAATTGGTAACACACTACGCCGACAAGGATTGAAATCCTGCAGTGCCAGCAAGGTCCCTCTGCTCAAGAAAGCACATGTCCAGGCCTGTGTGAAGTTTGCCACTGAACATCTCAATGATGCAGAGGAGGACTGGTTGAAAGTGTTGTGGTCAGATGAGACCAAAATCAAGCTCTTTGGCATCAAATCAACTCGCCGTGTTTGCAGGAGGAGGAATGCTGCCTATGACCCCAAGAACACCATCCCAGCTGTCAAACATGGTGATGGAAACATTTTGCTTTTGGGTGATTTTCTGCTAAGGGGACAGGACAACTGCACCTCATCAAAGGGACGATGGACAGGGCAATCTACTGTCAAATCTTGGGCGAGAACCTTCTTCCCTCAGCCAGGGCATTGAAAATGGTTCGTGGGTGGGTGTTCCAGCATGACAATGACCAGAAAACACGCGGCCAAGGCAACAAAGGAGTGGCTCAAGAAGAAGCACATTAAGGTCCTGGAGTGGCCTAGCCAGTCTCCAGACCTTAATCCGATTGAAAATCTGTGGAGGGAGCTGAAAGTTCGAGGGTGCCTTGCATTGCTGTGTGAATACGTGCTGTGTGTTGCTGTGTGAATCTAGCAGCTACTGCTGTCAAAAAAGGCATCCTGCTCAGTGTTTATTAGCACTGCTCAGATGTGATATAGACCAATTCAATGTAATGACATGATAACCCTATAGTTTAACCTAATCAGCACAAACTAACACCTTCTTCCCCTTCTCCTGTCAACTATTATTTTCCTGCTAATGTTTTTTTTATATTTTTATTTTATCGGCTTTTAATATTTAAACGTTTTTCATTTTTGTTATTTTTTTTGGTGTCACATAAAAAAAGAGCTAAATTGAACCAAAAAAAAATGCTTTATTTAATTTTTAACTTTGAACTGCAAAGGAAAAAAAAGACCGAAAAATTAAAAAACAAAACAAAACAATACTTGCTGCTTTCTGTTATAAAACATATCCAATAAAAAAAAATAAATCACATTAGTTCATAAATTTAGGCCAAAATGTATTCTGCTACATGTCTTTGGTAAAAAAAAAAAAATATATATATTAAGTATATTAATTGGTTTGTCTGAAAGTTACACGTTGTACAAATTATGATATATATATATATATATATATATACATATATATATATATATATATACAAAAGTATTGGGACACCTAAATCGACAGGTGGTGTATAAAATCAAGCACCTAGGCATGCAGACTGCTCCTACAAACATTTCTGAAAGAAATGGATCGTTCTCAGGAGCTCAGTGAATTCGTGCGTGGTACAATCATAGGTTGCCTCCAGTGCAATAAGTCCATCCATGAAATTTCCTCACTACTAAATATTCCACGGTCAACTGTTTGTGGTATTATAACAAAGTGGAAGCAACTGGGAACAACAGCAACTCAGCCACAAAGTGGTAGGCCACGTAAAATGACAAAGCGGGGTCAACTGTCTTCAGAATCAACTAAAGACCTCCAAACTTCATATGGCCTTCAGATTAGCACAACAACAGTGCATAGAGAGGTTCATGGAATGGGTTTCTATGGCCAAGCAGCTGCTTCCAAGCCTTATATCACCAAGTGCAATACAAACCATCGGATGCAGTGGTGTAAAGCACGCTGCTACTGGACTCTAGAGCAGTGGAGACGTGTTCTCTGGAGTGACCAATCACGCTTCTATGTCTGGCAATCCGATGGACATATCTGGGTTTGGCAGTTGCCAGAATAGTACTTGCCTGACTGCATTGTGCCAAGTGTAAAGTTTGGAGGAGGGGGATTATGGCGTGGGGTTGTTTTTCAGGGGTTGGGCTTGGCCTTTAAGTTCCAGTGAAGGGAACTCTTAAGGCATCAGCATACCAAGACATTTTGGACAATTTCATGCTTCCAACTTTGTGGGAACAATTTGGGGATGGCCCCTTCCTGTTCCAGCATGACTGCGCACCAGTGCACAAAGCAAGTTCCATAAAGACATGAATGAGCGAGTTTGGGGTGGAGGAAATTGACTGACCTGCACAGAGTCCTGACCTCAACCCACTAGAACATATTTGGGATGAATTCGAGTGGAGACTGCGAGGCAGACCCTCTCGTCCAACATCAGTGCCTGACCTCACAAATGCTTCTGGAAGAATGGTCAAATATTCCCATAGACACACTCCTAAACCTTGTGTACAGCCTTACCAGAGGAGTTGAAGCTGTTATAGCTGCAAAGTGTGGGCCAACTCAATATTGAACCCTACGGACTAAGACTAGAATGCCATTCATGTGCATGTAAAGGCAGGCGGCCCAATACTTTTGTCAATAAAGTGTGTGTGTGTGTGTGTATATATATAAAAAATGGAATTTATGCACCTATGGCACTATACTGGTAATGGCAGTCATCGGCCACTTATAGTGGGATGACTGTGATAGTGTCATGGGCTTGCTGGGAAGTACACTAACTGACACTGACATCAATAGTGACACTAATACAGTGATCAGTGCTAATACTGTACACTGTCACTGTACTAATGACACTGGATGAGAGGGGGTTAACATCAAAGGGCAATCAAAGGGTTAGTTGTGTGCCTAACAAGTTTAATGTGTGTGATTATGAGCTGCTTTTTCTAAGAGGTCAGGCTGTTTTTTTCTCCTTGCTTTGCAGGGAGAAGAAATGGCAAAAATTGCAGCTCTGTGTACAGAGCCCTGTACTGTTGGTAAACACAGGCCTCTAGACTGTGATTGGACACAGCCGATCAGCAGGTCCTGGCCATAAATCATTGGCCAGGACCTGCTGACAAAATCCCACTGTGTCCAATTGCAGCACGGAATAGCAGGGGGCACGCATGCCAGCCCCAAACCCACAAGCATGCTCACAACATTTATTTACATTGCGCCTGCAACTGCTGCCCAGGGGAAGTAGTAAAAAAAAAAAAAAAAAGGGGGTGGGAGGACAGTGAAAAAAGTAAAGTCTCTATTAAAAATTAGAATAAAGTTTATTTTTTGTAGTCTTCTGTATTAAAGAGTAACTAAAGTTCTGCTGTCACCAACAGAGAGAAGAAAGGCTCTTTATTGCAGAAGAGACATGCTGTGGAGCTGATTTACTAAAACTGAATAGTGTAAAATCTGGTTCAGCAGTACATGGTAGCCAATCGGCTTCTAACTTCAGTATGTCCAATTAAATTTTGATTTAAAGAAAAAAAAAAAAAAAAAATCCAAAAGCTGATTGGTCTGAGCTGCACCAGTTTTTGAACTCTCCACTGTTAGTAAATCTCCCCCAATGTCTCCTCTGCAATAAGATGGCACCTGAATTTCTAAAGGCAAGTAGAGCAGCGCCAACCTCAAAATGCCCACATAAAAGAAATTCCATTTATTGCAGCTGAAATAAGGTGATTTTATATATATATATATATATATATATATATATATATAAATATATATTATTTATTTAATATATCAATACCTTATGATAATTTATATAATTTGTGGCCCAATTCCTTTTTATACTATGTTTACACAATGATTTTTTAACACAGCTTTTAGACTATAATATCACTTTATTTACAGTATATAGGATTTATTTCTATTGGACATTTTGAGGTTAGCACTGCTCTACTTGCTTATTTTTGCATTCAAGGGGGTACACATTTTTTAGCAGCAGCTGGACACAGGTTTAATGTTATTTTAAATTTCCTTTTATTTAGGGATTTGATGGTGTAGCACGGGTGTTCTATCAAACTATTTAATAACATGAACCTACCCACCTGCTCGCTGTCTTCGCTGGCATGTAAACTGAGCTGCTCAGCTTACAGTAGTAGCCTGATACCTGTGCTCTACCCATCTCACACCAGCCAATGAAGATGGCTGAAGACCAGCACACAGTAGAAGATGCCAGTGCTGGTGAGGGACAAGATTATTGGAGCAAAAATGTAAGATTTGTTCTGCTTTAAGTTTAAAATTACTAGTTTTTTCCTTGTGTATTTTTATAAAAAGTGTACACACCTCAGCTAGGCTACTTTAACTAGTATTGAAAAGGTAATACATTAAACAAAAATTTCCAACATAATATTACCATAGCAAAATGGATTCTTCCAGGGACTGCTTCAGTACTAATTGATATAAACAACAGTCTATTCAGTGACGGTGGGAATATCATTACTTTACGTGTATTTAAACTCAAGAAAAAAAACAAACAAAAACTCAATAAATTCCAGCTTGCCAGTCCTTGGGTGTGGTGGCTGCATTAATTTTATTTATTTTTTCAGGTTTTTATTCCTTTATTTTCACCTGGTGATCCCGTCATTACCACACTTCCTGTCCTGAAAAATGCTCACTCACTACACTGTAGCTATGGAGGAGCAGCATTTCACCCTAGGTTTGGAAATACAGAACGCTTTCCCTTCTCCTCATCTATATAACATAGTAGGAACGTGTTAATGTGGAGAAGACTCCAGATTGGGCAAATTGGCAACAAGCCTGCAGCCACCACGGGCAAAGGTGTTATGGCTGAGAAACGGTGCTAGAGTGCTGTTTTTAAAAAAATGTTTGGTTATGGGTGGTTAAGAACAATCTCTGTTGGTATTAGCTTGCTCAAAGACCACTGCAGTAACTTTTTGGGTCATTTAAATACATTATTACCAGTTTTGATGCTTGACTTTAGCTCCAAACTCTCTTGGTCATCCGTGGCTTCAAGAATTTTATACCTGCTCTTCCTCTTTGGTTTTCCTTTTTTTCTGCAAGGAAAAGCATAAATAGGGATAGCATTATAAGCATGGACAGATTTCAGTTGAATTTCCTCTATGACCTTATATCCCTGTGGATGTCCAGCTTGATTTAATGTAGTTCTAAAGTCTGAAAGTTTTTTACCTTCATGCATTCTAAGCATGAAGGTAAAAATCCTTCAGTGCGCAGATTCCCCCTCAGCCCTGCTAATACTTATTTGACCCTGATCCAGCGATGTGTAGGACAGCAGCATCTCTCCCTCCTCATTGACTAAGACACAGCAGCGGGAGTCATTGGCTACTACTGCTGTCAGTCACAGACAGTGAGAAGGGAGCGGGAGGCCAAGCTGTTCTCTGTGTGTCTATAAGGCAGCTCAGGAGCGAACACGCACAAGTGCTCCCAGAGCAAGCAGTTTCCTCTGGGGGCACTCTGCAGGCGAGGGGGGAATCAGGAGCGCTGGCGAGAAGAGGAGGATTGGGGCTGTTCTGTGCAAAACCATTACACAGTGCAGTTAAGTATGACATGTTTGTTTCCTTTTAATTGCACTTAAAGTTTTAAAATATAAACTTTAAAAAAATGTACATATGATAATTTCTAATTTCCTCCAAGTAGTGACAGTCTGTTCCTCCTTTTCATTGTAAAAACCTGAGCAATTTTCAATACAACAGGCTTCACAAACAAGCTAACAGGTGTTATATGTTGCTTTATAAGACTTGAATGGCTGAACTCATGCAGTGGCTTGCTGTAATACGGACAAAAAATATATTTTGAAGAATAACACTCGTAAGAACATTCACAGACTACATTTACAGGATAGGTTATAATTTCCCCTTGCTTGATTTTGTGTCTGATGAAATAAAAGCCTGCATTAAAGGATAAGTTCACCTTTCAGGGTGTAACACTCCTTGATTGTAAGCTTGAAAGAGTAGGGCCCTCTTACCCCTCGTACGCTGTCTGTTTTTGTTGTACCATGCCATGTATTGTCCCCCTATTGTAGAGCGCTGAGCAAACCCTTTGGCGCTATATAAACTCGATGTAATAATAATAATAATAATAACACAAAACATGTTATAATCAGACTGCCCCCCGCTTTGACAGTCAGCGGGGGTACTTCTCCCCCTTCACTAGCTGTCAAATTTTTAAAAAAGGTGGCCGTGCTGGACTCTGCCAGCCTGTCCATGTCACTTGTTCACTGTATTCTGTGAATGAGAAACTATAAGTCCAGACAGCCTTAGTGGTTGTAGGCTTGCAGTTCTCACAGCACTTTGGTAGTTCATTGAGTCTTCCTGTCAGTATATCTGCTTGCCCATACATCCTGTACTGAGAGATCTGCAGGAGACCTGCATGGCGCCAGAGATCTGCTGATCGCTGGTGCAATGCTTTACAGGCTCCCCAATAAATAAATAAATAAATAAATGCACATTTTTTTTAACCTGCAAAAAAAAATGCTTTTATTATTTTTTGTATAAAGGAGAACTTATCCTTTGAAGAAAAGTAAAATGGAAGTTTTGTCTCCCCCCGAAACAGTGAGATGTTATTTTCTTTAAAGTTTTTTTTTTTTTTTTTTTTAAGATCAACCTATAAACTTTGATAATGATGTGCTCGATAAACTAATTGGTGTTAGTTTTAAAAAAACTGAAAATAAGTATCCATATATTTGCTCACTGAAACCAATCTGATGTTAAGTTTATTTTTTTTTTCCCTGCCACACACAAAAAAAATAACAGAAAAATATTGTGCTTGCACCCCATTTCTCAGCCTATAATTTCATTTGTGATGATTCATAGTGAATCATTATATTTTTAATAATCACAAGACCACTTTTTACCTTTTACAGCAACACACCATGCACCACGTTAGCAGTCCCAATGCCACAACACAGAGGAAGCTTGTGATAATGACGTATAGCACGCTCCAGTCTGCAATATTTAAGATATTAAATAATGAATAACTACAGAATAAAGATGTTGGTAACACAATAAATAAACAAATGAAGTTATCCAAACAACATAAATGGTTAACATGAAAAAGAAATATTGTGCAAAAGAAAAACAGTGTGATGGGTTAACAGACAGTTATGTAAGGTGGTGGTGGAAGAAAAAGGGGACGTCCTAAATGAATATGACATTGTCATTATAGAGACCATTGAATCAGCGCTACCAAAGTGCTCTAAGCAAAGCAGCCAAAATAATGCACCTGCACTACCTTTGGATAACGCAACACACCACACAATACACAGAGCTTTCATGTATGTGCTTTGTGGTGCTATGTAGTGCAAGTGCTTTGAAGCATCGGCCTCAAAGTATATGGGCATCGGGGTGTTACTTAGCATGAATGGTAATGGAAGAGATTCAGTATGTGTCTAAATCCAAATAGCTTCCATATGTATAACACATGAGGAGCTAAAGGGGGTACAAATACCTTAAAGCAGAGCTCCATCCAGGTGATCTGAAGCATAAGTTGTCCTCCCTCCCCGTAATCTTCTGGGACACATGACAGGTCCCAAAAGACTACGGGACCATTCACAAAGCGCAGCGCTACTCGCACATGTGCAGTGTGCACCTGGCTGTGAAGCCGCATGCTGTCACAGCCGGGTGCCCACGCTGAAGAAGCTAGCGCCACACATATGCTATACACCCTTACATATTTATAAAGTTTGCATAATAATAAGGATCCCTTATTTGCATATATTGCAATACCTGTTCAAGCTGGTCAACTGCTCCAAAGTGATTCCTCCCTGGCTAGTCTAAGAATCCCTATTTTATGCAAAGGTTTGCTAGGAATACTAAATATAAGGGTGTATTAGCAGTGTGCAGAGGGTTAATTCAGAATTTTCAGAATTAATGGCGACGCACCACGCAATGCTTTTAAAAACAGGTTTTAAAATTATTTTCCACAAGGATAGATGTGAAACCAGCCTAAATAAGTTGTAGGCGATCAGAACTTGCTACGGTCCATCCAGAAATTGGTAATTGCTTTTGTGTGGACTTTATCTGTAATATTTAAAAGCCATTTCAAAGAGAAGTCAGCCATTTAAAGAAAAATTGCTATCACCTTGAAAATCAACATTGACAATACAGATTGTTCCAGGTATGAGAGAGTATGTGAGCTCTTCTCATGTTACAGTGCACCAGAATGGCAGGCAATCACTAGGCCTAAGGCAGTGGCAGTAATGTCACCATTGCCTTTAGAGCCAGAGACCAGTCAACACTGGGTATTACAGTTTTGGCTGCAAGGGGCAATGTGATTATCAGTGGGTTGGGGTCTCTTTGTAAACACACTGTAACTTTGCCCTCAATGGGTAAGGTGGCAGTGGGATTACTTTACTTAAACTGGAGAGTACAAAATCTGGTGCAGCTCTGTATAAAAACCAATGTCAAAGCTTAAATGAACAAGCTGAAGTTAGAAGCTGATTGACTACCATGCAGATCTGCACCAGACTGTGCAATCAGCTTCTAACTCCAGCTTGTTCAGTTAAGTTTTGACATTAAAAAATGGAAGCTGATTGTTTTTTACGCAGCACTACACCAGATTTTATACTCTCCGGTGCTAGTAAATCAACCCCATAGTTCTTTAACCACATCCCGCAACGGGTTGGCTTTAATGCTGGGTGGATCTGGTGCGGGCAAATGCACTGCATTTGTGACCTGTGTTGGGGGTGTCATTAACTTATTATTGACAAAGCCCAATACAGTTGCGCTGTGTTAAAGAATGAATAAAGTGATTCAAGTGTAATAAATAATGTCCATAAATATTTGTAATAAAATCCAACACAAGTGCTGTGTGAATACTAATACATTAAAAAAGTCCACATCAAGTGTATATATATATATAGTGTCCATCAAATCTTTTGTGAGACCCAACGATGTGTACCAGTGAGCCCACCAGCTCAAGCACACCCAGCCTCTTACCAAATTGTCAGACCCCAAATTATGGGAAGTCTAGCATAGCGTGAAGCTGCGTGGGAACTTCGCTGAAATCTTCCTCTCCTGCTTTGTAATTAAGCTTGGCAAGAAAAAGATAAGCCTCTAATTTTGTAGTACCATTATATATTATTTATTAAGTATCAACCAGAAAACCACTTACAAACATCTTCAGATAAACGCATAAAACAATACAAACACAGCTGGTGCTGACTCCTGCCTAGCATGAGTGAAGTCAGCACAAGCTCCACATCACCCTGATGTACGTTTCGTCCAAATATATGTTGTCAAGGGGATCAGCTTAAAGTGGTTCTAAAGCCTTAAGGTTTTTCACCCTAATGCATTAAAAGCATTAGGGTGAAAAACCTTCTGTGCTGCAGGATCCCTCCCCTATACTAACCTAAGCTCGATCCGCTCCAGTGATGTGCACAAGAGCAGCGGCTCTTGACGCTGTCTCCCTCCTCCCTGGGCAGATCAATCTGTCAATCAAATGCTGTGCCGTGCCAGCGAGGGGGGGCCAAGTTGCCTGCTCTGTGTCAATGGATGCAGACAGAGTGGCTTGGGAGTAAGCCTGCACAGGTGCCCCCATGGAAAGCTGCTTTCCATGGGGAGACCCGCCAAAAAGGAGGAGTCTGGAGTGCCGGCGGGTGAACCCAAAAGAGGAGGATCCAGGCTGCTCTGTGCAATACTATTGCACAGAGCAGGTAAGTATACCATATTTATTATTATGGTAAATAAATTAATAAAACCCCAAAAAATAAAGGTTTAATTTTGCTTTCATTGCGACGCAGGAGAGGAAGATTACAGCGAAATTTAAATTTCTATCAGAGGTCACGTGTGTGTTTCTGTGCTGGATGATCCATGGTGCAAGACCCACGTAGCTTCACACTGTTAGACCTTCTACATTTTGGGGTCTGACAGAGAGGCTGTGTGTGCATGAGGTGGTGGGCTCACTGGTACACATCATCCGATTTCACAAAAGATCTGGTGGACACTACAGTGTTTATTTATATATATATTCACTTTGACGCTTGTTTTTCATTTATTAGTATTCACACAGCACTTGTGTTGGATTCTATTACAAATATTTATGTACGTTATTTATTACACTTGAATCACTTTATTCATTCTTTTACACAGTGTAACTGTGTTGGGATTTGTATATTGTGCATTTGTATTTTTATGCTTCTGAGTACAACTGTGATATTTTTATTTTTTATTTAGTACTGAGCGCAGTTTCTTTTTGTTTAGTTTGATCTTATTATTGATACCAGGTGCAGATTGTAACAGTAGTGTGTTTTGAATGTGGTACGGGAAAAGCACATGGAACGTGGATTTCCTGCACCAAGTTTCAATGTGAACGGGCCATAAATACACTGACAGTTTTATTTTAACTCACTTGCTGATGCTTCAAGTGTATGTTCCCACAATTTAAAACTGTCAGGGCTCATTCACATGTGCTTCAATACCCTGTGTTTATGCATCATTTATTCAGCATTTTTAAAGCCTCATAACCACCCGTCAATGGCTGTTATGAATATTACAATAGCACCACACAGTGTTGTTCACACAGGAGTAGAGCATTGTGTTAAAAATTAAGCAGCATGACGCTTTTATGAGGCATCACCACATGTCAGCCGCCTCCATTGGTTGCAATGGTAATGACCTGTAACCTCACTTTAAACACACCTATAGCATTTATGGAGCGGTGATGAAGCATTAATGAAGTGTTAACTGAGTACTGGGGGGACAGACACTGGAGGTTCCTGTAACCCAGAATGCACTGGGAAATAATAGAGAACTAGGACAAAACAGCCCGACGCTTCCTGTTTGTACAGAACAGCCGTGTGGTAACACCATTGGCCTCTGTATGCACGCAAAAGCATCAAGCCAGCCAGCAATACTTGATATCATTTTCTCTACATCACGTCTCCTTTATATATTTCCCACTATAAAAGCAACACTTTCATCGGCATTTATCAAGCATTCTTGAATTTTTCAACGCTTCATTGATACAATGAAAACAGATCAAAATTATTTCATAAATGCTATAGGCGCATTAATGAGCATTGCTTCATTCTGTGTAATCAACACACGTGTACAAGCCCATAGCGTATAACTGATGGCTACGTATAATTCTATTTTTACACACACTTTAAATTACATTCACACTTTAATTTATGTAATTCACATTTTTTAAGTGGTAAAAAAACAGGAAAAAATACACACAAAATACTTTATGAAACTTACCACAGTTGCTTTCTCCATCACCAAACTGTCGACGAATAAAATTCTCCATCCAAAAAGGGTCACAGACACAGCGCTTGGTAACAGAGTTGCAGTGACCATGCATAGAACAATTTAACTGGCAAGCTAGGGAAGAAACACACAGTGAGTATCTGCTAGGTTTACTGCCTGTAGACAGCAAACACATCTGGATCAAGACAATCGTTGCAGCAATGTTTTTTTTTTTCATTAAGGAAAGGGAACTAGTGATGAAAAAATAAAACACATATACTGCAATAACAAACTTACGGCCACCATTCATACATCCCTTGGGAATGCACAGTGCTTCTTTTTAGCTCCTAGTGAAAATCTTTAGGAGTCTTAAGAAATTGCAAATTTTTTTATTATTATTATACAGGATTTATATAGCGCCAACACTTTGCACAGCGCTTTACAAAATGAAGGTAGGCATTACAGTTACAATACAATTTGGTACAAGAGGGCCCTGCTCGTTAGAGCGTACAATCTAGGAGGAAGGGTTGAGTGATACAAAAGGTAATAGCAATGGGGGATGAGCTAATGGAGGAAATAAATAGCAGTTTACTAATTAGAAGCAGGATAGGCTTCTTTAAAGAGAAAGGTTTTTAGGGATTGTCTAAAGGTGGATAGATTAGGAGATAGCCAGACAGATTTGGGTAGGGAGTTCCATAGGATAGGAGAAGCTTGGGAGAAGTTCTGGGGGCGAGCATGGGAGGAGGTGACACGGGCACTAGAGAGCAGAAGGTCTTGGGAGGATTGAAGAGAGAGGTTTGGTTGATATTTTGAGATCAGGTTGGTGATATGGCTGGGGGCAGAGTTGTGGATGGCTTTGTAAGTTGTTGTTAGTATTTTGAATTTTATTCATTGGGTGAGTGGAAGCCAGTGGAGGGAATGGCAGAGAGGGGTAGCAGACACTGAACATTTGGTAAGGTGGATGAGCCTGGCAGCAGTATTCATGATGGACTGGAGGGGATTGGCCTATGTAAAGGTAAGCCAATGAGGAGGGAGTTGCAGTAGTCAAGGTGGGAGATCACCAGGGAGTGAATTAGAAGCTTTGTGGTGTCATTGGTTAAAAAGGGGCGTATTTTGGAGATGTTGCAGAGGTTGAGGTGGCATGATTTGGACAAGGATTGGATGTAGGCCTGAAAGGATAGTTCAGAATCCAGGGTTGCAGGGATGGGTTGATAGTGGTGCTATTGATCCTGACCAAGAAATCAGGGGAAGAGGCACGTGGGGAAGGAAATATTATGAGCTCAGTTTTGGATAGATTGAGTTTTAGGACTCCAGTCTGATATGTCTGTTAGTAAATCAGTGAGAATTTGGATATAGTTTATCTGTGACATTTGGCTATACTGTAGTTTAAGATTTTAAATACTGGTACAAAGATCCCAGGAGACCAGCTGTCTATACCACTACGCAGTACTAACTCTGTTAAAGCCTAGCTCCAGGAAAATTTTAAATTATCACTTGCAGTGGGGCTGCAAGGGTTATTAGCTTGTTTTGTTTAGTTTGTTGTTTTGTTTAGGAGATAGGATAAACACTTTTATTTGCCTGATCCTCTGTACCCTCAGCAGATGGTGCTCCCCCAAGCTCTATCGGTGGTCCCTCAGGGTCAAGGCTATGGACCCTGCTTTGTCTCCAGTCAGTGTCCCTGATCACTGGCACGCCAGTTATATGATGACGCTGTACTGCATTGGTGACAGTATGTAAAAAAAAAATTCTGAAAATAATTTTTTTAATTTCTGAAAATTTATGACCAAAAAATTACAACTTCAAAAAACTCGCCATGCCTCTTATGAAATACATAGGACTGTCTACTTTGCAAAAAAAAAAAAAAGGTCATTTGGGGGATATCTGTACTGTTCTGACATTTTTGGGCCTCAAGAGGCTGTCGGTACTTCAGGATTGATCAATATTCAGATATATACCATAGTTTTTGAACTCTATAACTTTCCTACAGACTAAATAATAAATACTTGGGTTATTTTCAGCCAATGAAATGTAGCAGAATACATCTTGGCCTAAATTTATGAAGAACAATTATTTATTTGCAAAAACAAAGAAAAATGTGTTTTTTTTCTTCAAAATTTATGATTTGTTTTGTTAATTTAGCAAAAAATAAAAACCCCAGTGGTGATTAGATACCACCAAAAGAAAGCTCTAGTTGTGTGAACAAAATGATAAAAATTTAGTTTGGGTACAGTGTTGCATGACCACGCAATTGTTCAAAGTGTGAGAGTGCTGAAACCTGAAAATTGGCCTGGGCAGGAAGGAAGGTATTGAAGTGGTTTATATGATGTATTGTATTTGAAAATGATGCTTCATTTTCTAATAAAATGGAAGATGAAACCTCATTGATTTGTCTTAATAAGACAGCCACAGAATGCTATGAGCATACATTTTCACAAGTAACAGTGGAAATACTAGAACAGATTTTAAAAATTGGAAGGCTTTAAAGCTGAACTCTAGACAGCTAGAAAATAGCCGTTTAAACCAGCTATACATTCATTAAACATATTCATGCTTCCACACTAGAGCCATTATTTGTGCTTTCATGTACCATAAAATTAGCATGCCCCAGAATATTATATAATATATATTCTGAACAGAATAGCCTTGTAGAATAAAATTATGTTAGTTTAAATTTTTTATGCTGCATTGTCTATGTGCAACTGCTTAAAAATATACTGAAATTATTTTAGTGCACACAAACACAGTTTAAAGCAACACTATATATCCTATTTCTCCACAAATAATCCACAGACATCCACGATTTAGTGGCCCTGTAATCTTATTTTCATGAAATAATTTCTTACTGTGTTTTTCTGTTTCTTTGTAACATCCTCTGTGAGCTCCATAATCTCTTCTTTTCCCACCTCACTGTTTGGAACCAGCACTGCATGTTAGTTGTGGCCCATTTGCACTGCTCTATGCACACTACAAAGTTCATAGAGTTCACAGTCCCTAATCCATCTTGGAAGTGAGCAAGAGAAAGCTACTACATGCAGTGAGACCATGGAGATTGAATGTGGCCACCCTCTAACAGGAAGACAGATCACAGCAGCAAGAAAAAAAAAAAAAAAAAGAAAAGGGAATTTGGAAATTTGAAAGAGGCTGAGAGTAACAGAACATTCTTTTTTTGCATTAATAAAATTATACTAGAACCACATTTTTTTGTTACTAAACCATAGTTTTTAGTATCACTTTAATCTCCAAATTTTGTTTTACAAAATAAAAGATGATGCCACAGCATGCCACCTTGTAACGCAAAGGAAGTCAGGTAAATAGGTACCAAATATGTAAAATCTCAAAATTTATTGTGCCCATGAAATGGTGAAAATGACGGTACTTAAAATTATCAGTAAATTACATTTTGAATGTCTTTACAGCTCATCAGTTTGGAGATGATGTAGAATTTTTGCTCTCACTCTGGTGTGATTGATGATGGTGCAACTGTTTACATGCACTCTGTGTGTGTTTACGCTCGTATGTGTGCATGTGTGGGGCGATTAGGGTACTTTTGATTTTATTTTATTGTATTTTAATATTTTTAATTTTGTTTATTTTTTTAATTTTAACTATGTGGTAGCACTGGGCAAGTGACAGGTACTCTTTACAGAGACATCTAATAGAACCCTAATGCCCCCCTTGCCCTCCAGTCCAGTTGATCAAGCACAGACTGTAGTCTGGTTTTCTAGCCAGGAATATGTCATTTGTGAAACCAAAATGCTTACAGCCTTGTGCTTCCTGGTTCACATGGATGTTCCTTGATCTCTTCCCATTCACCATCCTGACGTCATCTTTTGGGGATCCCGGGAGGAGTGGGAACTTTCAGGAACCACAGAGCTGAAGCATTTCCAGTACTAAGATGGCCACCTCCACACAGAGACACAGTGCAGAACAAGAAAAGATAGACAGTAATGGGGAAAGACAAACTGCAGAAAAACCTCAAGCAATACAAGTAATTAATGCTTTGTCCTCTTTTTGGGGCACAGGTTCCACAATTCAGGTCGTCTTTAAGATGGGTATATTTGGTTAAATGGGAACCAAAATATTAGTTCAGCAACAAAATAATTAAAGTGTAACTCCACCTTTGTTGAAAAAAAAAATAATCCCCTCTGGGTAATCAATGTACATTGCAGGGAATTTAAAGCCTAAGTACCAGAGTGCAGTAGTGAGTGGATTACTACTAGAAGATGACAAATCAACATAAGGGACATATCAGACTAACTGTAGGTTATGCCTCTCATGCTAGTTGTTCTGTTTTTGGCTGCAATTAGGTGTTAAAATATTTTTGTAGAAGATTCCTACCTTTCTCTGTTCTGAAGAAATAGCAGTTTGTTTCACCAGGCTGATTGCAGACTAATTCTGAATTGGAGGATCTGGGTAACAGGAATTGCCTGGTGCACCCTCACTGTACTAATGAGAAAGCTTCAGTGTCTGCAACTCTTTAAAAGTATTTAACCTTTTCCCGCCCGGCCTATGGCCAGATGAGCACCTTGCCGTTCCGGGTCCTTTTGGGCATGCGCAGTTTGCGCATCCGCAGAGCCTGCGCATCCGCAGAGCCTGCGCAGCGGCGCGATCTGTCACCGGCCGTGTACCTCGGACACGGTCGATGACAGATCTGAGTACTGGCCCTGTTGCCGGTACCATGTGACCTGCTGTTACCAACCACAGCAGGTCACATGACAGTTGTATACAATGGATGGTTTCATTCATGCCATCCATTGTATACTAGTGTGTCTAGCTGTGAATGGTCACAGCGATCACAGGCACAAGCTGGGCCAATCACAGCCCAGCTGTGTCATGTGATTGGCCGTGGTCAAATCACAGCTAAACAAAAAAAAAAAAAATAAACCCTGAATGAATCGATGTCATTCAGGTAAATGCTTGTTTATAGCAAAGTAATTCTTTGCTGTAAGCAAATAGTGTAAAAAAAAAAAAAAAAAAAAAAAAAAATAATGATCACTTCCCCAAAGTAGTACAATGTTACTATGGTAACATTGTACTACTTTGGTCATAGTGAAATATGAAAAAAAAATCTTAAAAAAAGAGAAAAAAAAATGTAATAAATTAAAACTATTAAAAAAATTAAAAAACAAATTATAATTTGTTTTCATACTGTCACCAGTCAGTGTCCCTGATCACCACCATGCCAGTTATATAACGCTGTACTGCACTGGTGACAGTATGTAAAAAAAATAGTGAACATAATTTTTTACATTTTCTGAAAAATTATGACCAAAAAATTATAAGTTCAAAAAACTCGCCATGCCTCTTATAAAATACGTTGGACTGTCTACTTTGCAAAAAGGGGTCATTTGGGGGATATCTGTACTGTTCTGACATTCTTGGGCCTCAATAAATTAGATTGGCTGTCAGTACTTCAGGATTAATCAATTTTCAGATATATCCCATAGTTTGTGAACTCTATAACTTTCCTACAAACTAAATAATAAATACTAATTTGGGTTATTTTCACCAAAGACATGTAGCAGAATACATATTGGCCTAAATTTATGAAGAACAATTATTTATTTGCAAACTTTTATAACAGAAACAAAGAAAAATGTGTTTTTTTTTATATAAATTTTCATTTTTTTGTTATTTTAGCAAAAAATAAAAACCCCAGTGATTAAATACCACCAAAAGAAAGCTCTAGTTGTGTGAAGAAAATGATAACATTTTAGTTTGGGTACAGTGTTGTATGACCACGCAATTGTCATTCAAAGTGTGAGAGCGCTGAAACCTGAAAATTGGCCTGGACAGGAAGGGGGTAAAAGTGCCCTGTATGGAAGAGGTTAAAGTGTTATTAAACCCCGAACCCTGGCATTTACTATATCTGGCCTCTCATAGTACACAGAACATAGAAACCTCATTAGCAATACACACTAAGCTGAGCATGTGAAGAAGGGCTACGGGTTCAGTCTGTTTTATCAGCATGGACATTTGAACAAGAGGAGGGCAGAGAGATCAGGATCAAACAGCCTTTTTACACAATGCAGAGGATTAACCCCTTAGGTTCCATAGTGAGTATAACAAGCTTTACCGCATATACAGACTGATTTTACTTTTGTGGGTTTAGTAACACTTTAACCTTTAGGGAGTATACAACCAAAGCTAAAATTCCTTTTGCAGGGGTTGCCTAAAATGTGTCTTGTATCTTAGAGCAGACATCTGGGGAAATCAATCAGTCAATGACACAAACAGGAAATTACATTTCTGGGGAAGTGCTGTGCACCAACTGTGTACAGAACACCTCCTGGTTGCTGCATTGCTTGAGTGCCACAGAAAATTACAGTGACTGCAGGCTGAAAAGAAAAGGTAGTTTTTAATACCATGAAATTAAAATATGACTTGTGTTGCAATTGTATATGCTTTATTATTTTTTTCTTACTTGCTATATTTTTTCCATAAAGTGGAGTTACCCTTTAATATAAGTAATATGAAAATATTAGTTATTTGGTTTTCATGAAAAGTCAAGAAAAAAAAAAAGGAATGCAGTTGAGTGTAGTCCATCACACACTTACTGAAAGTGTCAATCTCAAGTGCTCTAAAGATCAGGAAATCACTCTGCTGCTTGCGAAGTTCATTGCGAAGAGTACAGGCAACCTGGTAACCTTTCATGACCAAGTGAGGAGGCTGGTTCTTGACATAAAAGACTACCTTCGTGCTGTAATAGGAGGAAAAAATACTGCATCAAAAACACCACTTCAAAATGTAAACAATGTAATAGTATTGCAAGAAGAAAACAGATAGAATCCAGGAAACTTCAACTTCAGGAATTCAGTCACTAGGCTAGACCTAAATAGCAAAAGACTCATCTAGTTTCTTTTACAAACTGGTTTACTCAAGGCTAACCTCTTTTCTGTGTAGAGTTGGATGTTTTGCACAGTAATGTCAGAGTCCAGAACCCCAAGAAGAACTCCAATCTGTCTCATAAACATTCCTTTCTGTCGCTCAGTCAGCTGGCTGACACTCACATCCAGAATCATTTCAACCAAGTTGTTCTTCATTGGGTCTGAAAGTAGAAATAAAATGGGGAGAGGCTGTTACCAGGCAATGTGGTTATGGTGTATCTAAACCCTTACAATGAACTTCTCCTATTTGCTCCATTTTGGTTTCCTAAATATACCATTGAAAGTGAGGTGTTCAACAAGGCCACAAATATAATATTGATCCTGACAGAAATTGTGTCAGCTGATAACTTCCTGTGCTCTCTGCCTGTGCTGCACTCTTATCAATTACATTGCTTCTAGTTTTCTATGTGGACTGCAGTTCACCACTCCCCTATGGTATAGACAAGAGGGGGGTGCTTTTAAGTCCTGACAATGCTTTTCCTCCATAGATATAGTATTGTATTGTCATCCTAGGACAGGAAGTGTGCTATTGGCAAAAGAACGAGGTGAAATTCAGAGAAAAAAAGTGCCTGAAAATGGAAACTAACTCAGTAATCACATCTAAGGACTGGTAAGCTGCAATATATTACATTTTTGTTTTTAAAGCAGAGTTCCACCCAAAAGGGGAAGCCTGTCTGCATCTCCCCCCTCCGCTGCCACATTTTGGCACATTTTTTTTGGGGGGGGGGGGAATCAAAACCAGGTACCCACTTCCAGTTCTGGGTCAGTTTGCTACATTTTTGTTTTTAAAGCAGAGTTCCACCCAAAAGAGGAAGCTCCGCCTGTTTGCATCTCCCCCCTCTGCTGCCACATTTTGGCAGATTTTTGGGGGGGGAATCAAAACCAGGTACCCGCTTCCCGTTCCGGGTCAGTTTGCTACGGCAAACTGACCCAAAAGTTTGGCACCCCCACCCTTCCCCCCCGCAGCATTCTGGGACACTTCACAGGTCCCAGAAGACTGCGGCCCATTCACAAAGCACAGAGCGCTTCACGCATGTGCAGTAGGAAACTGGCTGTGAAGGCTTCACTGCGGTTTCCCTTACTCAAGATGGTGGCGCCAGCACCCGATAGCAGATTGAAGAATCATCTTGGGTGAGGACACTGTCGGATGCATGGACTGGTAAGTGCCTTAATATTAAAAGTCAGCAGCTCCAATATCTGTAGCTGCTGACTTTTAATTTTTTTTTTTTTTGGGGGGGGGGGGATCCTCTAAGTTTAGATATAATGTAAAGGTTATTTGTTTTCTGTAATGCCATCTAATGAGGAGAAGTGTTTAATAATCAAGTGTTCATCGGTCTCAGAACTATAACTCTAAAGCCCAGAAAAGAGATGCAAACAAAAGATTTGAGTTACAATGTATGTAAATCTTAAAGTATATGTAAATCCTGAACTTGTAAAACAACCCATTCAGTTTACATAGAAAAAAGGCAAAACAATTGTGATATACAAAAAACAAAATAGTGATCACATTCTTCTTAGCTGCATAAGGAGTTAGGGGAGGAGAAACAGCATCACAATGAACTTCTGAAAAGCTGTTCAGGGGTGTGTGAGCAGAAGTCTGACCATTGGAGGAGAGCAGGTTCAGTTCCCAGCACAGCTAGAGAACTGATCATGGTATGTTCTCATGCCTATCATGGTCAGCTTTTAATAGGAAAGAGGGACTGCCAGGAACACCAGGGATTTCACACAGAGGAAGGAATACAAAGAGAACAGGATGCTTTTTCAGTACATGGCACAGCAGGCATATATTAGAAATAGGAAATGTTGGGTTTATATATTCCTTAAAGTTTCCTTCATACTTTCACTGTCAAACCTGTGTTTATATGCGTTTAGAAGACATTTCATGTAATGATTATTCTGTGGTACTATTCACACTGTGTGTGTACATGTAGTCATTTTAGCTGCAATTAAAATAGCATTATGTACATCCAGGATTTGACACAATTAAAGCAGAGTTCCACCCAGAAGGAGAAGTTCCGCTTTAAAGATTGGTCCCCCGCTCCCCATTAAGGATTTGCACCTTTGGGGAGTGGGGGGGGGGGGGGTGAACAGGCACCCACTCCCACTTCCGCTGCGATCGCCTAGGTGATCGGAAACGGAACTTGTCCTCCTTTCCTCCCTCCCCAAAGTCTGGTGAGACACGTGACAGGGCCCGAAGGGCCATTTAGGAAGTGCAGTGCTACTCGCACATGCGCAGTGGGCAACCGACTGTGAAGCCGCAAGCTGTCACAGCCGGGTGCCCACACTGAAGATGCCGGCGCCTGGAATACAGGATGGCCGGTGAAATGGGCTGTGGCGGGGGCAACGCGGGATTGTGGGACAGGTGAGTGGCTTTTTTTTTAAAAAGTCAGTAGCTACAGTTTTTGTAGCTGCTGACTTATTTTTTTTTAAAGAGTGAGTGGAACTCCACTTTAAACACATGTAAATGCATCTGAACCTGCTTTAAAGCAAGAACACCTAAACACCGGAAAAAGGTGATCTAGGAGGCATAAACATTGTTTGTACTTCCTAGATGACTTCTTCTGCATTTATAAAATCTAAATGTGGGAGTACCAATGTGAATGAGATCTAACAATGAACTTCCCTTATTTCTTACCTTTTGGTTAATTGAGTTTACTATTAAAAGCCAGATGCACATCCCTAGAAATCGAGCATTCCTGGCCTTCTTGCCCACCAGTGCATGCACAGTCTGTTCTCTTTTACTCTGAAATCTGCTGAGCTGCAAGATAGCTGACTGCACATGTGTGAATGGGGAGGGAGGCTAGGAGTGCTCCTTAGTGGATTACCAAGGGCCGTGCATCTGATGCTGGCTGTGTCCTGCCATCTGCAAGACAGACTGGAGAGGACACTGGTGTCAGCAGATGAAAAGGTGTGCAATGTATTTGGAGAATGAAGCACAGCATCAGGGACACTGTGGTGAATGGGGACCTTTTTGGAAACGTGTGAAAAAGTGAACTTACCTTTTAAATCAGAAAGATAAATTAATTAAATGGTAAGATAGGCACATATATTAAATACAAAAACACATACAGGGCCATCTTAATAGCATCATGGGCCCCTAGGCGAAATAATGCACTGGTACCGCTACCAGCCTGCCCCAATTCACCTACCTACTCTTAAGAATGAAAGTATACGTAGTTGATAGAATTAAACATATATTTATTAGTACTTTCAGTAAAATCAAATTTAAGTAGCAGGGGAAGTTGTCATTCCAATTGTAGATTTAGCCCAGTAACAGGCTTCTGCTTTCTGTGCAGCAGAGATCCTGGGATGCTGCCCAGGACACAGCCATCCCAGGACAGCTTAGTAAAAAGCATGACTGTCCCAGCAAAATCGGGGACAGTTGGCAAGTATGGTGTAATGCAGGATATCCATGGGGTCCCCTATGCACCCGGGACCACTGAGCAGTGGCCAGGGGTGCACATGCATTAAGACGGCCATGAACACATAACCTGTCTTCGGTTGGGCAAAATGCATCAGAAGATAGGGAGATATTAAGAGTGCAGCAGGGGCGGACTGACAACTCATGGAGCCCCTGGGCAATAGGGGATCATGGGGCCCCTGTGTCCTCGCCCACACTTAAACCACACCCAAAAAAAAATATGAAAGGTGCCAGGGGGCCCCCTACCGATCCTAGGCCCTCGGGCAGTGCCCGAATGGTCAGTCCGCCTCTTGAGTACAACTACATTATTTCTCTCAAGTGGTGGAATAGACATTGAGTACTGGTGGGCTCCTCATCAGCCAACACCTGAGTGTTGGAGGGAAAAGTTGGTCTGACTTGGAGTGGTGTCCACTCACTTACCTTAAGATTGTGGTTCCAAGCCCAAGACTACCAAAATGGAAAGACTTCCATTTAAACAGGAGCTCCAAAACAGCTAATTATACAGTCAGGTCCATAAATATTGGGACATCGATACAATTCTAACATTTTTGGCTCTATACACCACCACAATGGATTTGAAATAAAACGAACAAGATGTGCTTTAACTGCAGACTGTCAGCTTTAATTTGAGGGTATTTACATCCAAATCAGGTGAACGGTGCAGGAATTACAACAGTTTGCATATGTGCCTCCCACTTGTTAAAGGACCAAAAGTAATGGGACAATTGGCGTCTCAGCTGTTCCATGGCCAGGTGTGTGTTATTCCCTCATTATCCCAATTACAATGAGCAGATAAAAGGTCCAGAGTTCATTTCAAGTGTGCTATTTGCATTTGGAATCTGTTGCTGTCAAGATGAGTTCCAAAGAGCTGTCACTATCAGTGAAGCAAGCCATCATTAGGCTGAAAAAAACAAAACAAACCCATCAGAGAGATAGCAAAAACATTAGGCGTGGCCAAAACAACTGTTTGGAACATTCTTAAAAAGAAGGAACGCACCGGTGAGCTCAGCAACACCAAACGACCCGGAAGACCACGGAAAACAACTGTGGTGGATGACCGAAGAATTCTTTCCCTTGTGAAGAAAACACCCTTTCACAACAGTTGGCCAGATCAAGAACACTCTCCAGGAGGTAGGTGTATGTGTGTCAAAGTCAACAATCAAGAGAAGACTTCACCAGAGTGAATACAGAGGGTTCACCACAAGATGGAAACCATTGGTGAGCCTCAAAAACAGGAAGGCCAGATTAGAGTTTGCCAAACGACATCTAAAAAAGCCTTCACAGTTCTGGAACAACATCCTATGGACAGATGAGACCAAGATCAACTTGTACCAGAGTGATGGGAAGAGAAGAGTATGGAGAAGGAAAGGAATTGCTCATGATAATAAGCATACCACCTTATCAGTGAAGCATGGTGGTGGTAGTGTCTTGGCATGGGCATGTATGGCTGCGAATGGAACTGGTTCTCTTGTATTTATTGATGATGTGACTGCTGACAAAAGCAGCAGGATGAATTCTGAAGTGTTTTGGGCAATATTATCTGCTCATATTCAACCAAATGCTTCAGAACTCATTGGACGCCGCTTCACAGTGCAGATGGACAATGACCCAAAGCATACTGCAAAAGCAACCAAAGAGTTTTTTAAGGGAAAGAAGTGGAATGTTATGCAATGGCCAAGTCAATCACCTGACCTGAATCTGATTGAGCATGCATTTCACTTGCTGAAGACAAAACTGAAGAGAAAATGCCCCAAGAACAAGCAGGAACTGAAGACAGTTGCAGTAGAGGCCTGGCAGAGCATCACCAGGGATGAAACCCAGCGTCTGGTGATGTCTATGCGTTCCACACTTCAGGCTGTAATTGACTGCAAAGGATTTGCAACCAAGTATTAAAAAGTGAAAGTTTGATTTATGATTATTATTCTGTCCCATTACTTTTGGTCCCTTAACAAGTGGGAGGCACATATGCAAACTGTTGTAATTCCTACACCGTTCACCTGATTTGGATGTAAATACCCTCAAATTAAAGCTGATAGTCTGCAGTTAAAGCACATCTTGTTCGTTTCATTTCAAATCAATTGTGGTGGTGTATAGAGCCAAAAATGTTAGAATTATGTCGATGTCCCAATATTTATGGACCTGACTGTATATTATTTAAAAGGATTTGTAATTCTGTTCAGCTGCTGATTTCTGCACAGCTACCTATTTGACAACCCTCGTTTCAGATTCAGCTTTGCAGGTACCAGTGCCACCTTTCCACCTCCAGCCTACTCATTGAATGATAAAAGCAACATCATTGCTTTAGCACAATAAGCAAGCAGATTATACAGAAATGTGATCATTACAGCTGGCAGAGGTGTCTGACTCATAAGACTGGCTGAAAAGAATGACAATTTCTTTGGAAAATGAAACAGTTAACACATTGGAATTCCACAAATGTACTGTATATAATCGTTTTTTTTTTATTCTGAATTTCTACTTTAATAGGATGATACCTAGTCCCTTTTGAAGCCTTTTCTACATTTTCACAGCTGTTACTGTAAAATAGCCTAACCTCTTTTCCTCCAGGTGCACAGAGAGCTCCCATATTTCTTGCAACTACCGTAAAGTGAACAACTGTGTACCAGATGATTACACCCCAATATTTTCTCTCTTCTCAGGAAGTTTCCTTTCTCTGAACTTTTTCCAGTTTTGCAACATCCCTTTTGTCAACTGGTACCCAAAACTGAACTGTATATTCAAACTATGATCTTTGTAATGCTTTGCACAGGGCCAAAATTAACTCTCTCTCTCCCTGAAGTAATTAGTACAAAGTTTCTTGCTTGCTTGCTTACATTTTGTTTTTCATTTTTTTTTTATTAAATAGAAGTTAAAAAAATATATATTTTAAAAGTATTATAAATAATTCTCTGTTCAGAGCAATCTGAAAAAAGCACTGCAACTAGTTATCTTTAAACAAATTTTACTGAATTTTTTTCCATTACATATCACATGGACGGTGAGCTGTATACACATTTACATCTTCAATGATATGAAAATATATAGGTATATTAACTTAAGGGTAGAGGCTGTAAGTGCAACTAGTTTCTGCCATATGATCAATACTCAAATTAAAGTATTGTACTGTGTTGGCTACTGATTGATACAGAAGTTTAAGTGATAGCCTTTATTGACTAACTTAGGTTATAAAAGATGTAAGCTATCAGGGTGCCTTAGATCTTCTAACTAGGGTTTATACAATTCTGAAAATAGATATGAAACCCACATGTTTACACACAGGAGAAATTAAATATAAAAAAGAAAAAAGTCAATTTTAAACGCCAATTACTCTGATAACACTCTGATCTCTATAGCCTAACCCTTTACAATAGTTGTTACCATTCAAGTTTGTTAGGAAAAATGTTTAAATATTTTTTAAATATTTACATTTTAATGCACCTCCTTGTAGCTTTTATAAAAAATGTGGGTCTCAGAACTATTTCCAGAATTGTATAACTTATAAGATTGAAAAAGGAATCCAAGACAAACCAAAATCTTGCATCTTTGAAGAGTTAAGTTAGCCAGTAAAGGCTATCACTTAAAGTAGAACTATAGGCATTTTTTTTCTCATTTTGGATAGATTGAGGGAGGGTTATAACCTCAGATTTTTTTCCCCATCTCTGTCCCATTGCAGAGATTTCCCTTCACTTCCTGTCCCATATTTAAACAAAGTGAAAGGAAATCCCTGTAAAATTAAGGGAATTCCTTGGGGGCCTCAAGGTCACAAGAACTAGTGTCCCCATTGGAAGATTTCCCCTCTATTGCTTTTCTAGGGACAAGCCCAAATGTGGGTTTTCTTTTACTTTCACTTTCAATGATAATGGTAAACAGGACAAATACAGAGGGTGAATCTCCTTAACAGGGGCACAGACAGCAATAAAAACCTGACAAGTACTCTAACCCCTCTCCACTCTATGCAAAACTATAAAAGAAAAGTTTTGCCATTATTTATACTTTAAACAGCAAACTTTCTGCAAAGTACGATCAATATATTACACAAATTATTATAATATAATAATTATATATAATATATAAATATAATATATATATTATATTTATATCTTATATATTTAATAAATATAAAAATATATATATAATACACAAATTATTTAGTGGAAGGATAAATCTATTGACATGGAACGTGGCTTACACTTTGACTTCCTTATGTTTGTCACTTACCTGGTTTCACCTCTAGAGTGGCTCTGTCACTATTGCTCTCTCCTTTTGCATCAGTCACCTTCAAGTGAAAGGTATAAGTCCCTTCAACTAGGTTAGAGAGGAACAGGACTGCATGGCGATCAGAGTTATTCAACACCTCCTGAAGGGAAAAAGAAACTTAGTGAGCAGTTGTCACCTCACCCACAAACCAAACACAATGTCATCTTTTCCACTGTCTGTAAGTAATCATCTCCCAGGCTTCGCTTAACACTTTTAAAAGACAAATTAAATAATGGTGAGACAGGAAACAAGCACTTCTAGGTGTGACTTACAAACAGTCTACTAGGTTGCAGAAATATACTGTAAACAGCCTGCTTTGTAAAGCTTTCCACACACATGTAATAAAGTAGGGTTGCACCAACCAGGTTTTTTAAGAACGAGTACAAGTTCCGATAATTTTTTATCAGGTGCACACCAATACCAATTACCGCAACCGATGTTTGTGAAGCGCAGTGAGATCTGAGCCCATACAAAATGAAAGGGCTCAAACTGCAAAGAATCGCACGTGATTTGAACAGGAATGAAATTCCTCTCCAAATCATGTGTGGTTTCCTGCACTGCTCCTGTGTGAACCCAGGCTGTTGTCACTATGTAAAGCCTTGGTTCACACAGGAGCAGTGTGGGAAACTGACCTATCTGATTCCTATACTGACTGAATTATCGGTTGTTAAGGATTTGAATTATCGGTTGTTAAGGATCATAATTGCTGGTATTCTTCTGTTTACATTTTAGCTGTCAGCGGGGGAATCCTGCTTGAAGTTGAAAGAACTGAGCCAAGTCATGCAAATGCTTAACATCGGCACCAATACTGTTGCAACCCTATAATAAAGTAATAAATAATTATGTAACATATTAAATAATTTATTCATCACAATGTGCAAGCTAGGGCACAATATAAACTATAGCACAGTTTATATATTGGAATGCAGCAAATTTCACCAACTTTTTTTTTGTGAAATAAAAATCATTTTTATTGTAAACATGAAAATTAAATGAAGAATCTGACCAATCTCACAAAATTAATTTCTTACTAGACAAAATGTTATGTTCTTTTGTTACAGACAAATGTCTATGAAAATCAGGTGGAAGACGTGGTCTCACCAGTGCACTGTTGGCCCCTGATTTTGTTTATAGACACTGAAGCTTTTTTTTTTTTTTTTCTAGGAAAAGAAGAAACTTTTTAAGCTGTTCATTTTTTTTGTCCTACCCTCTCCATCTTGTATTTGGCAAGACGTACTGAGTGTTGGATGTGTGGCCCCCGTAACTCAAGAAAAAGTACTTGGCTTCTTTCCTTATTTATGCAGTCACAGACCAATCTCTCACTCTTACCTTTTGTGAATTTCTGGGGCATGCATCCAACGCTCTGTGGGGGGAGATTTACAAAACTGGAGCAATCAGAATCTGGTGCAGCTGTGCAATGTAGCTAATCAGCTTCTAACTTCAGGTTGTTCAATTAAGCTTTGGCAATAAAACCTGGAAGCTGATTGGTATGCAGAGCTGCAGCAGATTTTGCACTCTCCAGTTTTAATAAATCAACCCCTCTATGTACAGCCAAATGAAGGATGGGGAGGGAAGACAATTAAATGAGTAGATTCAAAAGCAAGCATTCTTTTAAAAAGGGGAGCACTGCTCAGTAATGTATACTGTAATACTTAGGGGTGATTTTGCCAAAAGTCAGTAAAGATGAACTAATCCTTTAGAGAATGAGTTTCTCCCTTCAGGGAACATACCAGAGCAGCCTCAGGGACCATACTCACCTACAGCTTACCATACACTTTACAATATGACCCTACAATCTTTGTACAACAATCAACATTAGATTTACCAAAACGAATATAAGGACCTGGAGAAGAGACTCTGATGACTTGTGAAAGGAGGAGGTAGAGGAGAATCGTGCTGCTCAGTGTCAGTGAATGCACATAGAGGATGGCACAAGTGACTGGCAGCCTTTAAATCTTCCTATTGATTTGGCATTGCATTTATGCCATGGAGTGAGTTGCATATGAGTGGGTAGCAGCGGAAAATCTCTGGTGAACTGTTGGGATCCCTTACCATCGATATACTCTCATACGCTGCTTGACCGCTTGATTAGTGGTCATCCTTTCTGGTAGAGGCTCTGTGTGTGGACAGTGGAGGATTTATTTCTCTTCTGGGGCACTGTTGTCTTCATGGATATGGGTCATATATAATTCCCAGCTGCACATTATGGACTTACTCTGAGGACTGTACCTGACTATTTTTGTATATAGCTATGATATGTTTGAATTAGTGTGAATTAGCGCTGTATATTGTTTCATAATATTTATTGTTTGCTGCCCGCACATTTAACAGCTGCTGTTTCACTATATATACACGTTGCACCTAGCACAGGTTGTTACTGAGTTTATTTTAATAAATAATAAGGACCTACCAAATCTATACAATGAACCTGTAATGATGGTTGTAACGTAATGAGGTCCACTTTAAGTCCACCCAATAGCAGATTTACTGCTACAGGGTGGACGTTCATGTATAGCAATGTCATTTTGTACTTCCGCCACGGGGGGGGGCGGGGCGTGCCGCTGGAGTGCCACTTCTGTTGTGACTGGACACAGCAGAAGCCGATCAATAGGTGCCGGCACCCATTGATCGCAGAGGAGACAAGGCAGAGCTGTGTTCTGTCAGCAGCGATCTGCTAGATTTTATTCAGGGGATAAAATCTAGCAGATTGCCTGGTAAAAACAGCACATAGTAAACAAATAAACACTGGCTAGGCACACAATTAACCCTTTGATCACCCTAGATGTTTAACCCCTTCCCTGCCAATGTCAATAATACAGTGAGAGTGTTTATTTTTAGAACTGACCACTGTATTAGTGTCACTGGTTCCCACAAAGTGTCAGACCGTCCTCCGCAACACTGCAGTCCCGCTATAAGTCACTGATCGCCGGCATTACTAGTATAAAAAGAAATCCAAGGAGCAGGGCCCTCCTAACCCTCTTGTTTTGAACTGTATTGTTGCTGTATTGTCTCCAGTTTATATTGTAAAGCGCTGAGCAAACTGTTGGCGCTATATAAATCCTGTATAATAATAAATAATAATTACAGTAAATATATCGCCATTTGTAGATGCCATATGTTAGGCCAAAAACGTGGCTTTGTCAGAGCAATCTCTCTGACAAAGCCATTTTTTGGCGTAGCGTGTAAAGGTGTGAAGATAGTGACACAGTGATTGCCAGCGGAGTTCGTATGGACGCTTAGCACAGGAGGGGAACAGAGCGTGCCCGCTTGCACTTGAGGAGTACCTGCATGACAGTTGTGGAACTTTATGTCTATCGTCTGCAGTGCACCAGGGAGGTGCATCTCTCTTGTGTGTTTTTTATTATTATTTTAATAAATTGGATTTTATACAGTACACACTATGCGCATATATATATATATTTATATATATATATATATATATATATATATATATATATATACATATATATATATACACATATATACAGTCATGGCCGAAATTGTTGGCACCCTTGATATTTCTCCAGGAAATCATGTATTTCTCACGAAACGTATTGCATTAACACATGTTTTGCTATACACATGTTTATTCCCTTTTGTGTGTATTGGGACAAAACAAAAAAAGGGAGGAAAGAAAGCAAATTCGACATAATGTCACACAAACCTCCAAAAATGGGCTGGACAAAAGTATTGGCACCCTTTCACAACTGCGGATAAATAAGAATGTTACAAGCATGTGATGCTCCTGTAAACTCACCTGGGGCAAGTAACAGGTGTGGGCAATATAGAAATCACACCTGAAAGCAGATAAAAAGGAGAGACGTTCACTTAACCTTTGCATTGTGTGTCTGTCTGTGCCACACTAAGCATGGACAACAGAAAGAGGAGACGAGAACTGTCTGAGGACCTGAGAACCAAAATTGTGGCAAAATATCAACAATCTCAAGGTTACAAGTCCATCTCCAGAGAACTAGATTTGCCTTTGTCCACAGTGCGCAACATTATCAAGAAGTTTGCAACCCATGGCACTGTAGCTAATCTCCCTGGTCGTGGACGGATGAGGAAAATTGATGAAAGATTGCAACGCAGAATAGTCCGGATGGTGGATAAGCAGCCCCAAACATGTTCCAAAGACATTCAAGCTGTCCTGCAGGCTCAGGGAGCATCAGTGTCAGCGCGAACTATCCGTCGACATTTAAATGAAATGAAACGCTATGGCAGGAGACCCAGGAGGACCCCACTGCTGACACAGAGACATAAAAAAGCAAGACTACAGTTTGCCAAAATGTACTTGAGTAAGCCAAAAGCCTTCTGGGAAAACGTCTTGTGGACAGATGAGACCAAGATAGAGCTTTTCGGTAAAGCACATCATTCTACTGTTTACCGAAAACGGAATGAGGCCTACAAAGAACAAAACACAGTACCTACGGTAAAATATGGTGGAGGTTCAATGATGTTTTGGGGTTGTTTTGCTGCCTCTGGCACTGGGTGCCTTGACTGTGTGCAAGGCATCATGAAATCTGAGGATTACCAAAGGATTTTGGGTCGCACTGTAGGGCCCAGTGTCAGAAAGCTGGGTTTGCGTCCAAGATCCTGGGTCTTCCAGCAGGACAATGACCCCAAACATACGTCAAAAAGCACTCAGAAATGGATGGCAAAGAAGCGCTGGAGAGTTCTGAAGTGGCCAGCAATGAGCCCAGATCTAAATCCCATTGAACACCTGTGGAGAGATCTTAAAATTGCTGTTGGGAAAAGGTGTCCTTCCAATAAGAGAGACCTGGAGCTGTTTGCAAAGGAAGAGTGGTCCAAAATTCCGGGTGAGAGGTGTCAGAAGCTTATTGATGGTTATAGGAAGCGACTGATTTCAGTTATGTTTTCCAAAGGGTGTGCAACCAAATATTAAGTTAAGGGTGCCAATACTTTTGTCCAGCCCATTTTTGGGGTTTTGTGTGACTTTATGTCATATTTGCTTTTCTGCCTCTGTTTTATATTTGTTCCAATACATACAAAGGGAATAAACATGTGTATAGCAAAACATGTGTTAATGCAATACCTTTTTTGTGTGAAATACTTGATTTTCAGGAAAAATATCAAGGGTGCCAACAATTTCGGCCATGACTGTATATATACACACACACATCGGTGGATCCCGTGAGCCAGTGAAAGGTGTAACCCACCAGGAGGAGAATTCCCCACAACCTAGGGATATAAAGGGTTAAAGGTGCTTATAGACTGGAAATTGCAGTAGGTCAAATTATTGAGGTGAGAGGCTGAAGGTGGCGGTGATTCACAAGGTGGTGTCATAATACCCAGTTTCTTTCCGCGCACCCAGATTGGACTGATACTTTATATGAAGAATACTGAATAAGGACTTGATATATTATTGAGTACTCCTAATTGATTTATCTTTCCTTTCATTTATGTGTAGCGCTGTCCCTTATTTAATGTTACAAATATCTATATATGCAGTGTACACATATTGGGATACAACAGCAACCATTTTCCTTATTAAATTTCATTAGATTGCGCAAGGGCTTTATACCAATAATATACTTACAAAATTATGACTTTTTATTATGAATTAACAGTGCTGTCACTGATGAAAATTTTAGCAGGATGGCATTTACATTTGTGATAGGAAATTGTTGCTTGTTATCAGTGTGCAGTAGTGTTTAAAAAAAAAAAAAAAAAAAAACATGCTTACATTTTACATTTATTGGTTTGTAGGAAACCATTCCTATAAATATTACAGAAGCTATTTATCCACTTGCACTACTTACCCCAGCTGCTGGGCTGGCCTCATCTCTCTCCCACTGGTAGGTAACAATGCCTTTATCGTCTGAAGATTTGGAACCATCCAACTCTGCTGTGTTAGTTGGGAGAGTAATAACAACATTTCCTGCAATCTTTGCCACAGGCGGCTTGTTGATTTCTGTATTTAGAAGAAATATCAAATAAGTCTTACAATTAAATACTTTACAGGAATCTTCCAGGATGAACACCCTTCATTATTATTATATAGGATTTATATAGCGCCAACAGTTTGCACAGCGCTTTACAAAATGAAGTTAGACATTACAGTTACAATACAGTTTGGTACAAGAGGAAACAGAGGGCCCTGCTCGTTAGAGCTTACAATCTAGGAGGAAGGGTTGAGTGATACAAAAGGTAATAGCTGTGGGGGGATGAGCTGATGGAGGAAATAAAAGGAGATTTACTAGGTAGAAGCAGGATAGGCTTCTTTAAAGAGAAAGGTTTTCAGGGATCGTCTAAAGGTGGGTAGATTAGGAGACAACCGGACAGATTGGGGTAGGGGGTTCCATAGGATGGGAGAAGTCCTCGAGGCGAGCATGGGAGGTGACACAGGAACTAGAGAGCAGTAGGTCTTGGGAGGATCAAAGAGAGTGGTTTGGTTGATATTTTGAGACCAGGTTGCTGATGTAGCTGGGGGCAGAGTTGTGGATGGCTTTGTAAGTTGTTGTTAGTATTTTGAACCAGGGAGTGAATTAGGAGCTTTGTGGTATCATTGGCTAAAAAGGGGCATATTCTGGAAATGTTGCGGAGGTTGAGGTGGCATGATTTGGACAGGGATAGGATGTGGGCCTGAAAGGATAGTTCAGAATCCAGGGTTACCCCTAGCATCCTGGCATACAGAGACGGGTTGACAGTGGTGCTATTGATCCTGCCTGAGAAATCAGAAGAGGCATGTGGGGGAGGAAATATTATGAGCTCAGTTTTGGATAGATTGAATTTTAGGAAGTGGTGTGACATCCACTCTGATATGTCTGTTAGTAAATCAGTGATACGTGAGGAAACTGATGGGGTGAGGAGTAGAGAGAGAGATTTGTGTGTCATCAGCATAGAAATGGTATTGGAAACCATGGGAAGTGATCAGCTGTCTCAAGGAAGAAATGTAGATCGAGAGTAGGAGAGGTCCAAAGACAGAAGCTTGGAGGGCCCCAGCAGTATGAGTAGTAGGAGAGGAGGAAGTAGAGTTGTAAGTGACACTGAAGGTGCGGTGAGATAGGCAAGATCTGAACCAACGGAGAATACAGTCTCAGAGACCAAGTAAAAGAGTTTTTTGAGGTGGAGGGGGTGGTCAACTGTGTCAAAGGCAGCAGAGAGGTCCAAGAGTAAGAGTACAAAATAATGAACCTTGGTTTTAGCGGTAAGTCGTTTGTGAGTTTTAGGAGAGCAGTTTCTGTGGAGTGTTGTGGGCGAAATCCAGACTGAAGGGAATCGAGAAGGTTATTTTCAATAAGGTGGCAGCTCAGCTGGTTGTAGACTAGACGTTCAAGGAGTTTGGAGGCAAAAGGGAGTAAAGAGATGGGTCTTAGTCCTTCATGTGAGAGAATTGCTTCTGCCTATCTAGAGGGGTTAGAAATTCATATTTAAAATATCCTATCTAACTATGCATGGAACATATGTTGTAAGTTCATATCTAGTTTCAAGGCTTTGACAATCTCAACCCAATATAGTGCATTGGCCACTGCATTCTTTAAAACAGCACTGTGAGTGTATTTGGTAGTCAAGCATATAGCTGGAGCAGACTATATTTTATCCCACTCTGGGGTTGAAGTGCTTTCCCCTAGATCAGTTTCCCGTTTAGCATTTAAGGGAGTTTTGAGTTACTGTGGGTACTGAGCTCTTTATAGAGGGAGGATATAGAGCAAGCAGAATGTGGGTCATTGATGCAATAGTCATCAAACTTGGGACAGAAGGAGGAGGAAAGTATCTTTATTCTGTATAAAGAAGTTCATGTTGAGTTTGATTTGGAGATACTGAAATATCTCTGAGAGGAAAGCCCCATTTCTTGCACTGGTTTTTGAAGGGTTTAAGGCCAGTAAAAGTAAGTAGCTGGTAAAAAATATCTGATGCCTGTGTTGGCCCATATGCCAAAGGCCTGCAGGTTCCTGTAACCTGGGGGATGGGGGAACAAGGGACCAGTGTATGCAGGAAATATAGATTTCTACAGTATTTTACCATATGCCATAGTCTTCTGGAGTGGTGCAATGTTAGGTCTGATATAGTTAGAAGAGCATTTGAAAGAAATCCACATATAAATCCACAATAAATTGGGATGGAGGAGCAATAGACAATATCTAACTAAGCTCACAGGGGTATTTCCTGTGTTGTATTTAGGGGGACTAGAGAGTCTATTTATGCTGTCAGTAATATTTGTCTATGGTTAGCACACCAAGGTCTCCTGAAAGCTTGGGACAACTTGCTATTCTTGGCCTGGTCGAATTCTATAGACATTTTAGTATTTTCTCTTATATACTGAGCATAATATTACTGGATATTGTAATTGGAAATTGGCGGGTAGCTCATTGTGATTGCATGGATCATGCTACATATAGCAATGATTTGTTTCAGCATATTAAATGTACAGCAGGTAAAAACTAATGTGTTTGGGTAAAAATGTACAAAAAAAAACAAAAAAACAAATACAGTCCAATTCATAAAGCTAGAACACCAAAATACAGATTCTTAAGTGTAAAAAGTGACAATTCTGTTCAACTGAGTTCATTGTGATTTCAAAATTCAACATTGTACCAAATAAAAGCCTTATATATTTGTATAAAACAATGTAATATAAAAAGGTAGGTAAATTAGTTGCAGAGTTCTTGATAAGTTGACTGATGCACAGCGACACTGCTAAATGTGGTCTGGACATCTAATCATTAATGCCATCTGGCTAGCAAGGTGTTAAAACCTTGTGAATGGAGCCTACAGTCATATATTTGCATCCATAAATCCTATATATATATATTAGCACCAGTAAGTATTCACTGTTACATTTTTGGCACAAATCAGATTTCTTTTATTGCAACTACCTCACCATCTAAGTAAGATACCTGGGGAGAAATTTACAATGCAAATTAAATACGATCACACAAATCAACCTCCAAAGCAAAGTGAAAATAATCTAAATGTTCTCTTTAAATGTCTTCAATCCAAGTTTCTTAATCAAGTCTCCACTAAGCTCAGACTATGCACACTAAGTCATTACTTCTAGATCAGAATATGTAAATACTCTTTAAAGCTTAACTCCATGGAAAATAAATTTACCCTTGCAGCAGGGCCCCCCTGTACTGAAAGGTTCAAATGCTCATTTTTGTCTAGGGTGAACAGAAAAAGCAGTTTTACCTACTTTATCCCTCGTTTCTCCAGCAGCCTCAATGCTTCTCCTCTCCGTGATGCTCTAGGTTGTGGAAGGCCCCTTAGCATACTTACAAATGCAGAGCAGTCCTGAATTTTACATGAGGAGGTCAGAGAGCCTGCAAACGGAGCGGAGAAGAATGGCTTGGGGGGGGGGGGGGGGGGGTCTGGTACTACAGTTGAGAGGAAATCTGCAGGAACAAGGGATAAGGTAGACAAATACCCCCTAGAAAAATGTCAGCATTAAACCTCTGCAGTGCAGGGATAATCCCAACACACAGTTAACTTTTAATTTGTATTGTAGTTAAAAACATGCCTTCATTCACTTTAGTAGCTATAGGCATTGTTAAAAAATCCATCTTCTAATTTTACAATGGAGGAAAGAGGCAAAGCACAATGTTCCCCATGCTGATGAGGACAACAGCCTCTTCACAACTGTCCTGGTAGTTGTCAGGGCCGGTGGGTGGGGGGGGGGGGGGGGGAGCACCACAGTAATAATAAGGGGGCCTCAAAATGCTGCTCCTCATGTGAATGAGTAAGGGGTACATAGTAAAAATGTAGTATAAAGACAGACACAGTGTTTGACAGTTTTCTTCAGTTCAGCGATGTAGATTCAGTCATGATTGCTCCATGCCTGCCAAAAGCCAACACACATCTGGTACTGTCACTTCCCTCCACCAGCTGAGAGCTCCGATCCCTGCTACTAAACTAAAAACAAAGGAGTGGGGTCTCCCAGGTGACATATATTTTTTTTTTTTCAGAAGGCAATGGATGTCAGGCGACACGATGGGCATGGATCTATGTCACTGGATGACATAAATGACGATGTTAATTGTGGAACATTTTTATGTATTTTCTTTTTTAACTAAAGGACTTGTCAAAAACTGTGTGTCTTTACATTTTTGGGGGAATGTGTAGGGGCTTCTTCTCATTATTTATGGAGGCCTCCAGACTCCAATAAAACCCACACAACCACTGGGCCAGGGCTGTTGGGAAAAGGCCCTTGTTCTCATCAACATGGGGACAAGATGCTTTGTCAGGTTGTTCCCCTGCTGGCAAGATAACCCTCCTCGTGTTGAGGGCATGTGGCTTGGTATGGATACAGAGGTTCATGCAGTCTGACATGCCACGAAAGGGTGGAACATCAGGTTTTGTGTTTTTGTTTTGTTTTTTTTTATATGGATTTACCAGACCATAAGGGTGCGATATACAATTTAGGAGGAGGGCCCACCATTGTTTTTTGTGCGTGTTCCCTCTTATAATTAATACCAGACCTGAAGAGCCTGGTATGAATATCAAGGAGAATCCCCACCTCGTTAAATTTTTTTTTTAACTATCCCTGACTCCTTTGTTTACAAACTACTATATTACTATATACACTGAACAGCCTGCAAGTCCAATGTTTGGAGAAACACCCAAACAAGCAAAGTTCAGTTCAAATCGGGAACTTATTTCCATTTGTGATCTCCAAGGATCTTCGAATGAATTATTTCACAGTACAGGCAACTAGAGAGGCTAGTGAGGGCTATTTTTTTAAGTTATTTTACTGCATGTAAGAATATATAAGTACTTTAAACTTAGTAACACTGCAACTGGCCACTGGAATGCACATTATAGGAAATCAACTCTAAAAACCTGGAGCACTTTCCTTATCTTGCATCATGTCAGCGAGTCTTAATTCAATACAACAATCATACTGGTAAGAAACCCTTCTCCCACCAGACAGACACTGCTTCTTATGTCTACTGTGCTAAGGGATTAGGTATGTAATTTCACCTTAGTTGGAGAAGCACAGAGATTGCTCTGGGAACTGAACAACTGGTTGTAAAATGTTTAAACTTAGGAGACTGGAAATAAAAGGTTAACAGAGATAAAATGCTAAAGATTATAGTCAAGAAAAAGAGAAAATGAAACAAATAATTTTACCAGAAGCAAAAAACTGACCATTGCCAGAAGCAGATTGGCAGGGCTAGATTTTTTTACATAGTTGCATAGTTCAAGGTAAATTGCAGATGCTGTCTAGATTGTTCATGAAGTCCTCTGCTTCACAAAACTATCATCTAAACAATTCAGTACATGACAACTTTATCTCATGAGAACCTTAAGACTAATTATAAAACACATATTATAAGCTTTAGATAAAACTAATATAGTTCATAATAAACAGTAGGCCTTAAGAGAGCAAACCGTTGATGTCAAGGGAAAGGATGGACTGTGGTCAACAAAATTAACTCCTATCATCAAATCACTTGATTGACTCAAGAGTTGTGAACTCTCTCTACTTTCTGTCTCTTCTAAATAGACAGGATCATCTTTCTTGTAGGTTAAGGTGTCATCATAGAACATGAAAATCAGTTTTTTTACATCTCTTTTGATAAAAATAAAAGTAATCCCTCTGTGACCCCAGATGTTCATAATAATAATATAAATGCCACACACTGTATTCAATTTTAAATCCTTGAGTCATTCTGTGATCAGTAAATACTCACCCTCCTTCACAATTACACTAACAGTTGCCTGATCTTGCAAGCCTCGGTCATCTTTAACAGTCAACGTAAACTCATATTTTCCAACTTGCAGACCAGTAACCGTAGCAATGCTGCTATTGTTGATTTCAATTTTCACACCTTCCGGTCCCCTGAAAAAAAAAAAAAAAAAGAGTTTACTACATTCTGGTGCACAATCAAAGAATGCTACAGTTAAATATTGCATACGTAGGTTGAAAAAAACAAAAAAAAAAATACAGTTGCATGGAGCGTTTCAGGAGTTCAGCTATTAATAACACTTTTAATATTAAATATCAAGAAAGCCTCAATTACCTGAAACCTATTTCTTTAACAATTCACTGTGGAAACTTCAAGTTTGCTACAATGTGGATATGGTAACTTACAGTTTATCAATAACATAGTGCAAAGAACAATGGATTCTAAAGTTTAATATATGCCATGGATTGTCCTGTGTGCATGCAGATTTTTTTATCTTCTATTTTAGTTACTAGTTTTTAATCAAAAGACAACTGTAACATAAAGCATTCAAAAAGACTACAGAAATAGCTGCAAATCCATACTGTATGAGAAAAAAAAAATAGGAAAGGAATTGGGTGCAATTCTGGTATCAAACCAGACTGTTATTGGTATGAGTTATATTGGCAGCTCATACCAATGTCAGCACATATTTACTAAGGAACATATCCAACTCAAACATCATACAGCACTCAAACCTGAGTGTGGTGCATCAATCTGATGAATGGTGCCATCAAACAACATGAAAATACAACCAGGGTACCTTAATCTTTCTCCAACAATATTTTTTATTGCTCACGTTAGGCTACACATAGTTGGGCTGATTTTTTTCCTGAAAATGACAGGTGGGAAAAATCTGTTTGAAGTTCCAAGATACGCCCGAATTAATCCTACAACTTGTGCAACAGAATGATATGAAAGCAAAAAAATTAGGCAGGTGCACAGAGGTTTTTTTCAACTAGTTTCAAATGCTCATTCTTGCAAACAAAAGATACCCTTGAAGAGCCTATTGCTTAAAATGTATGTATGTAAACCCCAACAACAAACTTACTTGCATTTTGGTCTGTGAAATGTACCAACAAAAGTATTTGTTCTAACTGCTCGATAAGTAAAAAAAACCCCAAAACACAACTATTGATCCCCCCGTAAATCAGTGTTATCTCAGTCTTATTTTTCTGTCCAGGTTATTTTTGTTAATCACAGAACAACTCCAATCGCGGTCTGCAGTCTGAACATACTTCCTCTGTCTTGGAGTAACAATGTTGCTTCTCTATAGATACAGTCCAGTGAGTGTGTTTCGCTATCCTAGAAAATGAAGTGTGTTACTGTCAGGATCATTAGATGAAGATAAAGGAAACAGCCAGGAAAAGAGAAAACTAATGTACTCAACATATCTGGTAAGACTGGTAAGCTACAATATATTACATATTTGTTTTTGTGTTTGATAAATTTTAAGCTTCATACTGGGTATTAGATTAGGTCTTCTGTGGTCAAGCATAAATGTCAGAGCTCTACTGCCTACTGAGGCTTTTGTTATTTTAGGCACTTGTTGGGTCTGGTCAGGTTCACTTAAATTCCAGGGCTGTGCTTGACATAGACCTGTCTTAGCTTTGATTACATATAGGCAAAATACAAACTTTGTTTTTTCCCAGAGATAAGAGGCAATCTTCTGATCATCAGTGCTACGGCTTCCATCGAGAGTTGTACTGTCCACTGGAAGAGTAAGCTCTTTGTCTGGGCCAGCATCAGCCTGAGGAGGCTTGTTATTTTCTGTCAAAGAGAAAATCGTATGAAAAATAAAAAAGTAATAATTTATCTAATTTCACCTTTTTTGTTAGTTATTTTATATAATAGAATTCTTACCAGGCTGAACAATCACTGTCACCTCACTGGTAGACTGCTGGCCTGCAGAGTCTGTCACTGTCAGCTGAAAGGTATAATCTCCTTCTTGAAGAGCTGACAGCTGAAGAGTTGATGTTCTGACTCCCTGCAAAGTTAGAGAAAAGCAGATACAATTATTACTCAATGCCATGAAAGTGAAGACCCAATGGCTGGGTCTCCAAATTAGCAGCAACATGTCACCACATATGTGCCATGGGAGTAACCAGGGGTGTATTTACCATAAGGCAAACAAGGCACTTGCCTAGGGTGGCATTTTTCAGGGGGGCAGCACTTCCCCCCAGAAGAAGGGAACCAGGTGGGATCTGAGAGAGGCTGCGGGCTGCTTGATGGTGTATGTACAGCCTCACTCTCGTTCCCGGGGATGTATTTTTCTCTATCGTCGGAGGGGAGGGGGTAGTAAAGGCTCTCCCAGATGGGGGGCATGGGTGTTGTTAGTCATTGTTAGGCTCTGTCCACGGGAGGGGGAAAGGGTGGTGGTGTTGGTCAGTGTCCGTGGGGGCAGACGATTTTTGTGTTGCCTAGGGCAGCAGAAAACCTAAATACACCACTGGGAGTAACCATGTTTAAAGCTGAAGTTTGGTGAAAAAAAAAAAAAACAGCAGCAGTGACTACTTACCATGAATGAAGTGTGTCCTGTTTGCTGGTGGCTGCTGCGTTAGGTGAAATCTCAAGTCCTTTGCCCCCCCAAAATTGGCATCAAATAGATATGATGAAGTATGTATAGATGGATTAGTAAATATCAGGGACACTAAATCGGTTACTGGTTAGAATCTCTTCCCAGGACTCATCATCACCAGGAACCTAACCAGCCTCTAACAAAATCATAATAATATAAGCTTGGGTTCATGCTGAGGAGCCCTGGAAGACTGTACAGAATTCCAAAATCATTTATTTGGAAGAAGTTCTAACCATAGTGGCAGCAAGCAAAGGTAACAATGGCCCACACGTCTATGCTGACTGTATCGAAAAAGTATAGAATATGGCAAACTGAATTCCCGTTTTAAATTTGAAAAGAAATTGATTTTCTCGCCAGTTAAGATCTGAGTTAAAACAGTAATGCCATGTCTACATCAGAGCACAGGATGTGGTACCATAGAAAGATCAGGCAAAAGTCGATTCTGCCAAAGTGGAGTGCGACTTCGGAATACCTAGTTCTGACACAGCTAGACAGTGAGTTAACATGAGGTTGGAAGAATGTAGGCCTCTGTAACCTTTAAGCCCGCAATAACAGCAGGAAGGTCTACTGGAGGGGTTGTACATAGACCGGGGAGGAGGGGTGGTCTTCAGCAGGCCTCCCAAATCCTTATGATGTTTCAGACTTGACCAGTAAAATGGGTTTCAACCAGGTAGAGGTTTTACAGCAAAGGCTTGCAGGAGGGGAGATAGGGGAAATTCCTGTCTAGTGCCCCTGGTAGGTGGAAAAACTTTGGATGTCCACCCATTTAAACATCTTGATCTTTTAAAGCAGCCTACATGTATATGTATGAGTCTCTCACCTGCATCTCCATTACTTTTCCTTTGCTGTTAGGACTCAAGGACCATTCATAGCTGACAATACCATGATCATCAGTGCTTAGGTTTCCATATAACACAATAGAGTTTTTGGGAAGTGTGATGACTTGGTTGGCACCAACATTTGCCACTGGAGGGTAATCAACGGCTTTGTTTACAGTAAGGTTTGCAGTAGTAGAATTCTTGGCCCCATCAGAATCTTCAACAGTTAACCTAAGAAAAAAAAAAAAAAAAAAAAATTTTGCTGTTAATATATTAACATTTCATCTTGCTGTATTGCTAGCTCAATGCAACATGCTAGCTGTATTGTTAGTTAAAAAAAAGCATTAGAAAATATTTTTTTCTACAGGATTATTATATATGTATATTATACTATAATCATATATATTATATACTGTATATATTACAGCAGCTATGTGAAAATATGGCCCCCCTCCTCCTCCACTATACCATTTTTACCACTGATATTTTTTGCTTTTCTCCTCTTAAACATTAATTCATGTATGTTGAACCGATTTATGAAAACTCTGGCATTTTTTAATTGACCTTCGTTAAAAAAAAATGTCCAAACTATTGACATATACTCTAAGCAGAGGGTTGTTTTTGCTCAGCTACATATTGCTGGCATATTTAATTGATATACAGTATCTATGTTTGGAGGAAAGCCTTCTTGGTCATTTTTACATGGCAGACTTTTCAAACTGGTCTTTTGACTTAAGATAAAAAAAGTTTTATAGAAAAAAAACTTGCCATCATTACTACTGCAACAGTGCAGTCAAAAATATAGTCTTGTCTACATTGTGTATGATCACTGTTTTATTCCCAAGCTCTTAAGCCATGTGAGATCAAACAAACACATACCTATTTACTGCAGCCAGAGGTGGGTTACTGCGGATATCTAACCAGCATGCTAGGAATACTGCAATATTATTTTCTTGGTAATGCCAAGAAGATAAAGAAGATTGTGTGAGGTAGAGACTTACTTACCATACTATATATATATAGCATGGGTACTATCAAAGAATAAATGGTGAGCACAAGACAAAAAAAAAGGAAAAAAATAAAGCAGCTAGCACAATGTGGCAAACCCTCTGTCTCCACCAAAACAAAACACTATAATATCAATGTGCAGCGCTAATAAAAATGTGTGTTATAATCAACGATGACCAGTGTGATCATAAAAAAGAAAGGAAACATCATAAAAAAGAAACAGAGAATAGTGAATACTCCAATGAAGAAACAAAATATACGATATAAATATCATAATAGTCCCAAAAATAGTAATGTGATCAAATCAACAAAATGTAGTGACTTCCGCATTACACCTCCACCATAATGCACTCATCAGAAGTAAGTAGCCCAGAGCCCGGAGACAGTACTCAACTGACTAGGTGGATCCCCTGAGAACGTGCGTGTTCACGAAATGCGTCAAAGAGGAGCCTACGCGCTGACGTCACGCCGCCGTGTCAACGTGATGATCCGGCGGCCATCTTTGTAAGCGCTTTTTATCCACTGATGATTTTATGCTCCACATGGTTGCTATCTTTTTAATAAAACATGCTACACTATATGATACTGTCTCCGGGCTCGGTCTATGAGCTTGCCCTCTATGAGGAATCCCTTTCCTTGGTTCACTGGGGGCTGGAGATGGAGACTTGGCTACTCTACTTTTGATTGTTCATTTGGTGCATAACTGGCTTCTGGAGAGATCCCACCTTCAACCGGGTCACCGGCAGGAAGAACAAGCAGGAACACCCCTTAGTGTCATTCCACTCTGGACTAGCTTGCTACTTACTTCTGATGAGTGCATTATGGTGGAGGTGCAGTGCAGAAGTCACTACATTTTGTTGATTTGATCACATCACTATTTTTGGGACTATTATGATATTTAGAGGACTTATTTAATTTTCATTTGTTATTTGTTATACCGTATATTTTGTTTCTTCATTGGGGTATTCACTATTCTCTATTTCTTTTTTATGATGTTTCCTTTCTCTTTTAAATCACACTGGTCATCATTGATTATAACACACATATTTATTAGCGCTGCTCATTGATATTATAGCGTGGGTACTGTTTTACCAATTTTACTCACTTTACAAAGCTCAGTGTGCAAAGCTGATTATGCATTAGAACAGTATTCTTCATGCAGTTCTAGTCAACATGTCGCGGGCCAGTCCAAGGACCGTTAATCACCTTGATTAATGGTCTTTGGACTGGCCCGCGACATGTTGACTAGAACTGCATGAAGAATACTGTTCTAATGCATAATCAGATTTGCACACACTGAGCTTTGTAAAGTGAGTAAAATCTTGGCAGACAAGTGTTCAGTGTGTGTATGGAACAACGTGGGGTGATGAAGTTACTTGTGAATAAAGGTGTAAAACCCATGGATATCTACAGAAGACTTCAAACATAGTACAGTGATGAGAGGCTTAGCCGTAGTAAAACATTTGAATGGTGTACATGTTTTAAAGGTGGTGGTACATCTGTCAGTGATGATCCCGACCATGTTGGTTCCCAGCCCATTATAGCAGTCATTCCTGTGAATATTCAGCTAGTGGAACACCTGAACCTAGATAATGGACGCGTAACCTGTTGTGAAATTGAGAGACTAATCTTTCTCAGGTCAGCATTAATGATGCAGTGAAGTAGACTGTCTTAGGATGGTTCAGGAGTACTGACAAATCTCTCTATGCCGAAGCTTTCCAGGCATTAGTTAAACACTGGGATAAGTGTATAAATGTAGTAGGGGAGTATGTCCTTGAAATTTGTTCTTTTTATTATATAAACTCAAAAGTCCCAGTTTGACTTGACTGCCCCTCTCATACACATACAACACACACACACACACATACACTATATTGCCAAAAGTATTGGGACACCCCTCCAAGTCATTGGATTCGGGTGTTCCAATTACCTCCATGGCCACAGATGTATAAAATCAAGCACCTAGGCATGCAGACTGCTTCTACAAACATTTGTGAAAGAATGGGCCGCTCTCAGGAGCTCAGTGAATTCAAGTGTGGTACTGTGATAGGTTGCCACCTGTGCAATAAGTCCATCCGTGAAATTTCTTTGCTACTAAATATTCCACGGTCAACGGTTAGTGGTATTATAACAAAGTGGAAGCAACTGGGAGCAGCAACTCAGCCAGGAAGTGGTAGGCCATGTAAAATGACAGAGCGGGTCAGTGCATGCTGAAGCGCACAGTGCACAGAAGTCACCAACTGTCTGCAGAGTCAATAGCTAAAGACCTCCAAACTTTGTGTGGCCTTCAGATTAGCACAACAACAATGCATAGAGACCTTCATGGAATGGGTTTCCATGGCCGAGCAGCTGCATCCAACCCTTACATCACCAAGTGCAATGCAAAGCGTCGGATGCAGTGGTGTAAAGCACGCTGCCACTGGACTCTAGAGCAGTGGAGACGTGTTCTCTGGAGTGATGAATCACGCCTCTCTGTCTGGCAATCTGATGGATGTGTCTGGGTTTGGTGGTTGCCAGGAGAAATTTACTTGCCTGACTGCATTGTGCCAAGAGTAAAGTTTGGTGGAGGGAGGGTTATGCTGTGGGGTTGTTTTTCAGGGGTTGGGCTTGGTCCCTTAGTTCCAGTGAAGGGAACTCTTAAGGCGTCAGCATACCAGGTCATTTTGTACAATTTCATGCTCCCAACCCAATAAGACTGCTGTAATAAAATCAAAAGGTGCTTCAACAAAGTTTAAGGGTGTGCACACTTATGCAACCACATTATTTTAGTTTTTTATGTTTACTTCCTCCCCCTAAAAGATTTCAGTTTTTAAATTGAGTTGTATAGTTTATAGGTCACATTAAAGATGGAAAAAGTTCTGAAATGATTTATCTTTGTCTCATTTTTTTTACATCACAGAGACCTGACATTTTAACAGGGGTGTGTAGACTTTTTAGACTTTTCATATCCACTGTCTGTCTATCTATCTATCTATCTATATATATATATATATATATATACACACACACATACACACAGCGTCAAAGAAGTGCAGGAGTCAAGCCTGGGACTCCCAATTATTTAAAAGAAAAAAAAACAAAAAGGAGGTGTCAGGTGAAAAGATTCTTACCTAAAGGTATAATTTCCAGGAACAAGATTAGTGAGTTTCAGTATCTCAGTGTCTCCTGTAATTTTCTCCTCCCTTAGTGGACCCTTTAGCTCCTCCCAGTGGTAGCTAACAATTTTTTCATCATCTGTACTCTCTGAGGACAATAACAAAAAAGAAACAGAATAAATTATCAACATAACATATAAAGTATGAGATTGTACATACATGTCAATACCATGTGTTTATGAGGCATTTATTCTGCATTGTTAAAGCCTCATTACTGCCCTTCAATGACTGTCATGAATATTACAATGACACCACACAGTGTTTTTCACACAGGAGCTGTAATGTTGTGCTGTGTTAAAAACTAAGCAGCATGGGGCTTTCATAAGGCATTGACGCTTGTCAGTTGCCTTCATTGATTCAAATGGTAATGCTCTATAACAGCACTCTGAGCATTTATGACGTGTTAACCACTTACCCTCCTGAGGATTTGCCCTCCTGAGGATTTACCCCCCCCCCCCTTCCTGACCAGGCCATTTTTTGCGTTACAGCGCTGCGTTACTTTAACTGACAATTGCACGGTCATGCAACGCTGCACCCAAATGAAATTTACATCCTCTTTTCCCACTAATTGAGCTTTCTTTCGATGGTATTTGTTTGCCTGTGCGGTTTTTATTTTTTGCGCTATACACAAAAAAAAGACTGAAAATTTTGAAAAAAAACACCCAATTTTTTGGGATTTTTTGAGATTTTGAGAAAAAACAATATTTTTGACTTTTTGCTATTAATCATGTACAGTAAAAAAAATTTTAAAAATCAAATTTCATCATAAATTTAGGCCAAAATGTATTCTGCTACATGTCTTTGCTAAAAAAAATCCCAATACGTGTAAATTAAATGGCTTACGTAAAAGTTTATAGCGTATACAAATGGTGGTATAGATACTGGAATTTTTTTTTTTTAATTTTTAATAGTAACGGCGGTGATCAGCGAATTATAGTGGGACCGCAGCAGGCATTCTGACACTGGGGGGAACTGAATTGGTGTCACTGACAGTAATCAGAGCTAAAAAAAAAAAACCAAACACTGACACTGTACTAATGGCACTGAGGGGCGATCAAAGGGTTAACTGTATGCGGGGAGTGTTTTACATAGGGGGCCGTGTCAGTGTGCTTCACTGTAAGAACACTGCCATCCAAAGCAGTCTGCCCGAGCTGACAGGGAGGAGAACTGTTAGTAAACAAAACAGTTCTCCTCCCAATCAGAGATTGTCAGAAATCACCAGGCGCCGGGGAGTAATTACCGGCTGGGACCGTGATTGACAGCTGCGGGCGCGAATGGTGGCACGGGTAGGGCGTGTGCGCCCCCTACCTGGGGAAGCAAAATCACACATATATATATATATATATATATATATATATATATATGTGTGTGTGTGTGTGTGTGATTTTGCGCACCCGTGCTGCCCTGTAGCAGTATTTCTGCTATAGGGCAGAAGGGAAGGGGTTAATGAAGCATTTATGAAATGTTAGCTGGGCACTGCAGGAGAGGAAGTGGAGACTCCTGTACTTCAGGATGCACTGGGAAGTAGTAGAGAACTAGGGCAGAGCAGCTCCAGCCACTTCCTGTTTGTACATAACAGCTGTGTAGTAATACCGCATTCTTCTGTGTGCAGGCAAAAGCATCAATCCAGCCAGCAGCACTGACAGGGCCAGGCAGGAGCAGAGGCATTGGGCATGCTTCTTGTTTTAGCAAAGTTGAGCTGGACCAAGCCAAGTTTCAAAGAGTTCAAAATATATAAATCCATCTTGCAGAGAGTTCACAAAAATGTCTGCTCACACACCAGAACCTTGCCTCAAATTAGATCATTTTTTCTACATCACTTCCCTTTAAGCACTTCACACCAGAAAAGCAACACTTTCATGGGCATTTATAAAGCATTCTTGAAGCGTTTTCAATGCTTTATAGACACAACGAAAACATATTCTAAACATTTCATGAATGATATAGGAGCATTATGAGCATCACTTCGTTCTTCATAATTAATGCACATGTGAACCAGTCCTATGTGTTACGTACCCAACACACATACCACATTCTAATTTCTTATACATGATCTCTTAGACCAGGGTTTCTCAACTAGGGTTCCTCCAGAGGTTCCTAGAGCAATCAGCAATTTCTGCCTCTTAGATAAGTTCCCACTGACCCCATTGATCTTTTTAGCTATCTGTAAGGGGGTAATTCTTCCCAATGACCACAAGTGTAAGGAACATTCTTCCCACTGATCATCACACTAATGTATCATGAGTTGTAGATATCAAGATATGAAAACTTAGCGAGCGCATATAAAAGCAGCTGCATGCACCAAAAAAGGAACCACAAACCTTTCTATGTCAAGCAAAATTGGAAAAATAGTGCAGCGCTAAGACAAATAACGTACCAATACACTTGTAAAACACAAAAAAAAAAAAAATATAATATATATATATATATATATATATACACACCATATAATATATAAAATCCTGTATAATAAAATCATGTGATGACAAGCCCCTCTATTTATGGAGAATGCTGGTAAGTGAGGCCAAAATAAATGAAAATGTGATGAAAATGTGACAGCTCTGTTATCCCAGTATGAACTCCTATAGGGTATCCGGTGAAAGAAATGGTAAGATTGCCCACTCATCGGAAGCGCAATCTATATGCGCATATAGAAATCCAAGCGGACGGAGGTCTCGTGAAGATACAGCCTGGTACAAGGTGGTAATGATGTCCCTCAGAAGGTCCCTGTAATGGGTTGTGAGTAAACAGGTCTGATTTAAGATTTCCCTCCTGTGGTCCAAATAGATCACCTGGGATCCTGGGCTGTACACGCCCGGCTCTGACCGATCCAGTCCCGGAGGAATCCCCCGTTATAGATCCCAATGACAGGTGACACCCACCCTCCGGTCCCCGGTCCAGCCTTCTGCCGATCTCACCCTCCGACACAGCCTGACCTGCGCTCACCCTGCCAAGTTCTACAAGTGGGGTTGTAAAGCCTATTGGGATTGTAAAGATCTATTCGGACCAAAGGAGGGAAATCTTGGACCAGACCTGTTTACTCTCAACCCATTAGAGGGACCTTCTGAGGGACATCATTACCACCTCGTACCAGGCTGTATCTTCACGAGACCTCCGTCCGCTTGGATTTCTATATGCGCATATAGATTGCGCTTCCGGTGAGTGGGCAATCTTACCATTTCTTTCACCGGATACCCTATTGGTTTCATACTGGGATAACAGAGCTGTCACATTTTCATCACATTTTCATTTATTTTGGACTCACTTACCAGCATTTTCCATAAATAGACGGGCTTGTCATCACATGATTTTATTATACAGGATTTTATATATTATATGGTATATATATATATATATATATATATATATATATATACACACACACATATACATACACATATATAGATAATAGATATATATATTTTTTGTGTTTTACAAGTGTATTGGTACATTATTTGTCTTAGTGCTGCACTATTTTTCCAATTTTGCATGAGTTGTAGATATAGTTTTTTTTTTTAAACAGGGGTTCCCTGAGACCAGAAAGTTATTATTCTCTGTGTTGAAAAAAGGATGAAAAAGCTGTCTTAGACAATTCCTGCACATTACTGAACCCACATTATACAGTCTTGAAATTTTGCTCATCTATATACTGTTAAAAGAAAATTTCATATTGTTTATAATAAACATACTGTATCTAACCTAAATTAGACGTTTATGCAATCAGGTTGCAAAATATGTGAAGAATATGGCAGTGTCTTTTTGTCATGTGTTTGAGATTGAAATTACCCTGTGTCAGCAGCATGCTGGAGAACGAGACCACTGTTCTCACAGAATGCAGCAGTCCATGTCTCTAGTGGTCCGATTTGCCCCTGCACAGTGCTCCATTCAATAATTCTGATCTGGTAGCATAAGCAATGTTGATTGGAGCACTGTGTGGTGGGGTGTGATGGACTACTGGAAACCTGGACTGATATGCAGACACAATTTTTGTCTACTTTAATGCAGAGCAAAACCCATTACCTCATCATACATTCACAGGGTGGGTCTGATGCAAACAACATGTTAGCTTACTAGTGGTAAGAAAAACTCAACACATTGACTCAATTTATTCTAAATACGAGGGGTTTTATATAAAATTTTGATTAAAAACCTATTAGTCTTCAAACTCAAGAAATGTGCATTAACAAAGAAAGGCATGGAAGGCTGTATATTATGTTTTTACTCACGGCTGCCATCTATGACAGTAGAGGTGGTGGGCAATGAGATTTCTTGGTAGCGAGGAGATACGATGGCTACCGGAGGCTGATTTACTCGTGGCTCTGTAAGAATAACAGTCACAAATATTTCAAACATATCCTATTTGTTCACCACTAACAAGTTAAGAAATTATAACTGGACACTCACCAGGCTTGACGGTAACATTCACAAACCCCTCTCCATGTGCATTTTCACCTTCTACAATTACCTTGAACTCGTATAAACCCGCTGTAAGCTTGTGAAGAAGAAAAAGAAAAAATAATAGTAATATATGAGCAGAAACATTGCATTCACATACCTCATTTGGACCAGAAACAATGAGATGCAAGCTGTCATGAGCAAAGGCTGACAATCACACAGTTGTGATGTGTACACATAGATATTGTTAGACACAGATTAGGACACATGAAGACTTAATAAAAAAGGCCAGACACATCAGTGTAAAATGAGTCTGTATCAATGAAACGAAAGGCCACATCCCCTCTTTGGAAATCTCATTCACGTTTTTGAGTAGATGATTGGCAGTAGTTGTATGACAATCTGACATGTCAAATTGTGGCTAATGCTTGTAATTTAAGGCCTTGTTCACTCAGGTGTACTATAGCATGTGAAATGAAGCAAAAATCTCTGATGAAGAAGGGTCTACCTTTGAAACACGTCAGCCTCACTTTGAAAGTCTACCATCGTGACAGGACTTACATTGGCTCTACACTCCCCAGTTCCTTTGAGGATCTGTAATGCTTGTTTTACATCCTTGTTTGTGAGTATATCTATATTTTATTAAATAAAATCAATGAATTTTGAGGTAATGTGCAAGGTTGGTGCACTCTTTTTGCTTCACTTCACAGTATCAGTCGAGCTTCCCCAGCCTTGTTGTAGAGCTGCACATCCTTCTATGCACTGGTGCAATTGTTTTGAGGTTCCTCGATTCCTCCACCTCTGGTTTGAGTCGTAGAGAGCAGGAGGCATTATCTTTATATCGTATAGCGTGTGCTTGTGTGAGGGCTGATGGCAGACATTTTGTGCATCCCTGTGCAGGTAGTCCCATTCATGCCATTTGGGACGCAGAAGCTGAAATTACACAGCCACTGCTCCCAACCTGACAGCTGTGGGAGTGAGGGTGTTCTGCCTCAAAATGCAGAAAGTGTGCATCCAGTGCCAAGCACCCAAACCCACATGGCTGTCAAATTGGGAGGAGTGGATGTTTGTGCAGTCACTGTGTCCCACTTGACATGAATGGGACTGCCTGTGCATCAACATGCAGGTAAGCATGGCCCTTACACAAGCAAATGTTATAGTATGCCTATGCTGACAAGGCCTTAGACTGTGCGGCTTATAAATTACAAGAAATAGTGTAAGCATGTTACAGAAGGAGAGCATTTTTAGTGTAAGAAAACCATGCACTATGATATACCTAAGGGAATATTTGGCTGTCACTGAACAGAAGTCTAATCTGCATGTACAGCGAAGTCCATATACAGTCAGGTCCATAAATATTGGGACATTGACACAATTCTAACATTTTTGGCTCTATACACCACCACAATGGATTTGAAATGAAATGAACAAAGTGTGCTTTAACTGCAGACTGTCAGCTTTAATTTGAGGGTATTTACATCCAAATCAGGTGAACAGTGTAGGAATTACAACAGTTTGCATATGTGCCTCCCACTTGTTAAGGGACCAAAAGTAATGGGACAATTGGCTTCTCAGCTGTTCCATGGCCAGGTGTGTGTTATTCCCTCATTATCCCAATTACAATGAGCAGATAAAAGGTCCAGAGTTCATTTCAAGTGTGCTATTTGCATTTGGAATCTGTTGCTGTCAACTCTCAAGATGAGATCCAAAGAGCTGTCACTATCAGTGAAGCAAGCCATTATTAGGCAGAAAAAACAAAACAAACCCATCAGAGAGATAGCAAAAACATTAGGCGTGGCCAAAACAACTGTTTGGAACATTCTTAAAAAGAAGGAACGCACCGGTGAGCTCAGCAACACCAAAAGACCCGGAAGACCACGGAAAACAACTGTGGTGGATGACCGAAGAATTCTTTCCCTGGTGAAGAAAAAACACCCTTCACAACAGTTGGCCAGATCAAGAACACTCTCCAGGAGGTAGGTGTATGTGTGTCAAAGTCAACAATCAAGAGAAGACTTCACCAGAGTGAATACAGAGGGTTCACCACAAGATGTAAACCATTGGTGAGCCTCAAAAACAGGAAGGCCAGATTAGAGTTTGCCAAACGACATCTAAAAAAGCCTTCACAGTTCTGGAACAACATCCTATGGACAGATGAGACCAAGATCAACTTGTACCAGAGTGATGGGAAGAGAAGAGTATGGAGAAGGAAAGGAACTGCTCATGATCCTAAGCATACCACCTCATCAGTGAAGCATGGTGGTGGTAGTATCATGGCGTGGGCATGTATGGCTGCCAATGGAACTGGTTCTCTTGTATTTATTGATGATGTGACTGCTGACAAAAGCAGCAGGATGAATTCTGAAGTGTTTCGGGCAATATTATCTGCTCATGTTCAGCCAAATGCTTCAGAACTCATTGGACGCCGCTTCCCAGTGCAGATGGACAATGACCCAAAGCATACTGCAAAAGCAACCACAGAGTTTTTTAAGGGAAAGAAGTGGAATGTTATGCAATGGCCAAGCCAATCACCTGACCTGAATACGATTGAGCATGCATTTCACTTGCTGAAGACAAAACTGAAGGGAAAATGCCCCAAGAACAAGCAGGAACTGAAGACAGTTGTAGTAGAGGCCTGGCGGAGCATCACCAGGGATGATACCCAGCATCTGGTGATGTCTATGCGTTCCAGACTTCAGGTTGTAATTGACTGCAAAGGATTTGCAACCAAGTATTAAAAAGTGAAAGTTTGATTTATGATTATTATTCTGTCCCATTACTTTTGATCCCTTAACAAGTGGGAGGCACATATGCAAACTGTTGTAATTCCTACACCGTTCACCTGATTTGGATGTAAATACCCTCAAATTAAAGCTGACAGTCTGCAGTTAAAGCACATCTTGTTCATTTAATTTCAAATCCATTGTGGTGGTGTATAGAGCCAAAAATGTTAGAATTGTGTCGATGTCCCAATATTTATGGACCTGACTGTATATTTGGACACAGGCACAATTTTCATACTTTTGTCCACCAGAATAAATTAAAATGAAACAATCCAAATGAATTTGAAGTACAGACTTTCAGCTTTAATTGAAGGGGTTGAACATAAATATCAAGTACAAATTTTAGGAACTGCAACCATTTTTATACACAATCCCTCCAATTTCAGGGGCTCAAATGTAATTGGACAAATGAATATAATCATAAATAAAATGTTCATTTTTAATAATTTGTTGAGAATCCTTTACTGGCAACGACTGCCTGAAGTCTGGAACCCATGGGCATTACCAAAGACTGGGTTTCCGCCTTTTTGATACTTTGCCAGGCTCTAACTGCAGCTGTCTTCAGTTGTTCTTTGTTTGTGGGTCTTTCTGCCTTTAGTTTTGCCTTCAGCAAGTGAAATCCATGCTCAATTGGGTTGAGATCAGGTGATTAACTCAGCCATTGCAGAATATTCCACTTCTTTTCCATCTAAAGCTCCTGGGTTGCTTTTGCAGTGTGTTTTGAATCATTGTCCATCTGTACTGTGAAGCACTGGCCAATTAACTTTGCTGCATTTGGCTGAATCTGGGCTGACAGTATATCTCTAAACACTGCAGAATTCATCCAGATGCTTCTGTCTTATCCTCAATAAACACCAATGACCCAGTGCCATTGGAAGCCATACATGCCCATGCCATCACACTGCCTCCACCATGTTTTACAGATGATGTTGTGTGTGCTTTGGATCATGGGCTGTTTCAAGCCTTCTCCACACTTTTTTCTTCCCGTCATTCTGGTACAGATTAATCTTAGTTTCATCTGTCCAAAGAATGCTTTTCCAGAACTGGTCTGGCTTTTTTTTTTTTAAATATTTATTAATAAATTTTCACAGAAATAACAATAAACATTTTCATCTCAATCATCATAGATATACGATTATTTCTTATTATTTCAATTACCCCCCTCTTAAAACCTTGACCCCTCCCCCCCCCACTCTGCATTTCCTTGACTTGTATCCAAAGCAAGCATATCCTACCCAGTTTTTCTCTATAACGTTCTACTTTTCACTTTCTCATACTTTTTACAAAATTTTCCCATTTCGCGAGATATATCTCCAGCTTATCTTCCTGTATATAATATGTCCTCTCCATCTCCCTAGTCCAGTTTACTCTCTCTATCCTCTCCTCCTCTTTCGGTATTTCTTTTTTCTTCCAATATTTGGGGATCAGGCTTTTTGCTGCGTTCAAATAGTACCCTAAACCTAATTTCTTATATTTACTAACTGATATCTCTGAACTGTGTAACAGGCACATCCCAGGATCTAACCCGATGTTCATGTCAATGATGTTCTTTATTAAATATATTATTTTTTTCCAGAATATTTGAATCTTTGGACATTCCCACCAAATATGATAAACTGTCCCCACTTCCCCACACTCTTGCCAACACCACTGTGATTTCTCCGCACTTATCTTACCCTCCACACTCGGAACAATGTGCCATCTTGTCAAACATTTATAGTTTAATTCTACATCCCTCAAGCTTACATTTCCGTGAACTAATCTATTTATTTTCTTCTGTTTTCCTTCATCTAATACCACCCCCATATCTCTTTCCCAATTCACAATGTGCAATGGTTTAGTGTTTGTGTCTAGATCTGTGAGAATTACATATACTTTAGCTATTCCATGTTTCCCATCACCCCGTGAATCCAACAACCTTTCAAACAAATTCCAATCCTTTTTCGTTCCCAGGGGTTATGGGAGGTTTCCCCAAAAACGTTTTAATTGATAATAACGCCACTCATCTAGCCTAGTGAAGATATTTCCCTTTTCCTTCTCTTTAAAGGTCTTCAGTTTCCCATCCTCCATTATATCTCTGAGTTGGACATCCTCCTTTATAAACCATCTACCTGTTATCTCTTCTCTACCTGGTGGAAAAAATTCTGTGTTTCTTAGTGGCATAAGTATAGAATTAAATTCCCATTTCATATATTTGTGTATTTTATCCCATTCCCTTAATACATTTACAGTGTACAAACTTAAATCCTCCTTCAATCCTCTATATTGTGTCGGTAGCCATATTATTCTATTCAAATTGGTTCCACTAAGTGTATTCTCAATTTTTACCCAACTTTTCCCCTCTAAATTGAACGTCCAATCAAAAATTCTCCCTAATAATACTGCCTTATAATATCTCTTTAGTTTGTGGGTCTTTCTGCCTTTAGTTTTGCCTTCAGCAAGTGAAATCCATGCTCAATTGGGTTGAGATCAGGTGATTAACTCAGCCATTGCAGAATATTCCACTTCTTTTCCATCTAAAGCTCCTGGGTTGCTTTTGCAGTGTGTTTTGAATCATTGTCCATCTGTATTGTGAAGCACTGGCCAATTACTTTGCTGCATTTGGCTGAATCTGGGCTGACAGTATATCTCTAAACACTGCAGAATTCATCCAGATGCTTCTGTCTTATCATCAATAAACACCAATGACCCAGTGCCACTGGAAGCCATACATGCCCATGCCATCACACTGCCTGCCTCCACCATGTTTTACAGATGATGTTGTGTGCTTTGGATCATGGGCTGTTCCAAGCCTTCTCCACACTTTTTTCTTCCCGTCATTCTGGTACAGATTAATCTTAGTTTCATCTGTCCAAAGAATGCTTTTCCAGAACTGGTCTGGCTTTTTAGATTTTTCTTGGCAAAGTCTAATCTGGCTTTTCTATTCTTCAGGGTTATGAATGGTTTGCACCTTGTGGTGAACCCTCTGTATTTGCTCTTGTGAAGTCTTCTCTTGATTGTAGACTTTGACACTGATACGCCCACCTCCTGGAAAGTGTTCTTCACTTGTCTGGATGTTGTGAATGTGTTTCTCTTTACCATAGAGAGGATCCTGCGATCACCCGCCACTGTTGTCTTCTGTGGACGTCCATACCTTTTTATATTGCAGAGCTCACCAGTGCGTTCTTCTTTCCTCAGAATGTAACAAACTGTTCATTTGGCCACTCCTAATGTTGCTGCTAACTCTCTGATGGATTTGTTTCATTATTGAAGCCTTACAATGACCTGTTTCACTTGCATGGACAGGAACTTTGAACACATGATGTAGTTCACAGCAATAGATTCCTAATGCAAATGCCACACTTAGAATCAGACCTTTTACCTGCTTAATTGATGAAGAAATAAGGAAGGAGTAGCCCATACCTGGCCATGAAACAGCTTTTGATTCAATTGTCCAATTACTTTTGGTCCCTTGAAAAAGGGGGCTGGATACTCTTAACAGCTGTAATTCCTAAATCCTTCCTCCAATTTGGATCTACATACCCTCCAATTAAACCTGAGAGTGTGCACTTTCAGCCCATATCCATTATATAACTATAGCTTGAATTTGTTTTGGTACATACCTGAAAAAAACTAAAATTGTGCCTGTGTCCAAATATATATGGACCTAACTGTATAAAGTGCTAAATTTTAACATCTGTCCTCACCTTTGACAACTTGAGTGACTGTGTATGCTTCCCCTCCATTTCTCCGCTGTAATCTGTAGGATGAGTAATCAGCCTCCAATCATATGTATATACTTTTCCTATATATAAATGGAAAAAAAAAAAATGTAAATATTAAAAAAATAAATACAAGGTAATATTTTGGTATCCTTTTGAATTTAATTAAATTAAATACTTTCATTAACTTCTGTTGCAATGGGTAAGCAACCAATATGCATATCTCATACCCAACACATACTGTACCTAATATACAAAATGTTGGCTGATAACACAACCCTTACAGGATATGTGAAAGCACGGGTGCCGAGTTCTTTAACCTAGAGGAGACATGTGGAAGTAACTGGCAGAGCAAAGTAGTTTCAAGGACTAGATAATCATGTAGTCATCCATAAAACATACCAGAATGACTAGCAATTTTAAGAATTCATTCAAGTGTTGTTCTCCACTGTATATGTCATTTTAGGAGGATTTGAAAACATATTCATGCAACACAGCTGCAACTATGTGTCTGTACACTAGTGACTTTGTTCTAAAAAGCAGTGTGGTCCCCAATTTAATACAATAACTGCACTTGTTAAAGTTTGCCACACTCCATAGGATTAGAAGAATAACATTCTGTGTACACAAGTAGCACATATTGCAATGGATCACCGGTCAGTGCAATAAATCTGTTTCTGGCATTCAAAACAAAATACAAAAAAATTAGCCATCCATGTAAATGTATTCATGTAAAATCTAGAACATAGATTTCATTAATATATTTTAATGCACAAACAGATTTCAATGCAGTATTAGGTGTTTGTAAGTATACAGCAGTTGTTAAGACGCTTTTTTTCCCACCACTGGAAGGGACCACATATGGAAATATTCACTGGGAATCAGTCAGGGTGCTGTGTCCATGCACACCCATCATCAATGCATCATTATAATTGTCACGAGGCACAGAATGGAAGGACACACCATTTTTCCTGTTTTAACTCAACTATGACATGCTAATGAGCAAACAGAACTCAACGTTCTGCAGATTTAAAGTTAGTTTAACTTTTAAAAAAAAATTAAAAGGTGAACGAACACCCAAAAGCCTCCCCAAACCCCTGTCCCCCACTGCACTTAACTCTGTATGTGATTTAGTTTTACTGTCCATGCAGCCTGATGCAGTAGTCCTGGGGTGTGAAAACCATGCTGTTCTTCCTCTTCTTTCCCTGGGGCTGCGAGGAGGGATCAAAGCGGCTTGGATTGGTTTGGACTGGTCAACCTAGTCACGTGCCAGTGCTAACCAATCAGATCCACTCTCATCCATCCCTGAAAGGTGAAGTAACCTTTTTTTTTCATACAGAAAAACGTCACCAGAAGGGGTTCTAACCTCTTGCAACTCTACTTCAAACCCAAAAAGAGAAACTCTGGCTTTAGATACACTTTAATTATTCTACGTTTAATTATATTCTAATATACCCAATTACTGTTAAAGGCATGGTGACTCCATCAGGTGCATTTCCAATGAAAGATTTTATAGTGTATTTCAAATTTAAAAATAAATTACCCATCTATCAGTGAGATGAAGTATGTACACCTTTAGCATTCCTTTTGTATGCAAAAGAGGATACCCTTTTTTGTGCCTTTACAGTGGTCAGTTGCCTGAAGCTTGACCATTCAGTTTTACACACACAGAACTATTGCATATATGATAGCACCATGCTGTCAGATTTTACTAGCAGATGATCAAAGGACTACTACAGAAAAAAAATGGAAATTCCCTTTGCATCATGGAACATGACAAAAGTTTCATTCTGAAGTCAACATAGCTTACCACAATGAGAACAACATCTCCAAGGGGAGGCACAATGGTGGTAACACCATATAATAGTAATGTTTTTCACCAGCATGGACCATGAGACTGGTCAGGGTTAAGGCAATATGGATGGAGCAAAATTCAATGCAATTCTAGGAAAACAAGTTTTAGTCTGCAAGACACTTTAGACAAAGGTGAAGGTTCACCTTCATGCAGGACAATGTCTGTGAACAAAGTTACAATGGAATGGTTTAAATCTTAAAATCGTAAAGTCTTTGAATAACCAATTTAAAGAACAGCCCTCATCAATCCAAATGACAATATGTGAGAAGCCTTGAAAATTGCTATTGTGCAACAACCCCCATCTAATCTGACAGAATGAGAGCAATTTATCCAAGATTTAACTGGTGAAAAATTGCAAGATTTAGATATGCCAAACTGATAAACTCTTGTAGTAACAATCATATAAATCATATAATAACAATCCCAATTAAAATAATTTTTATTTAGGCCCGTAATCCCACAAAACGTTTGTGAAAAGGTTCAATGAGGTGCATACTTGCAAAGTTTATTACCAGTACTTGTCTATAAATATTTTCCATGTGTTTTCAATTATCTAGAATACTTAGTAATATCCACACAGTTATGATAATTTTACTGAAAGATGCAAAATGCCCTCCAAACTCCCCAGAAATACCACTCAGGGTTGACCTACTACTGGTTTGTTAACTTCTAGCCTATAGCAACTACGAAAACATGTCATGTAATTTTGGACCTGCACTGAAAAAAATGATAGCTGAAACCTGGCTGATTACAAAGGGTAATACCATTTCCTCTCCAGTTGTATAGATAGACCATGAACACCGAGAAACAGTTTTGCTTGCAAAATACCTGCATTACAACTATATTCCTTCACGTGCAAAGGAAACCAGTTTTTCCTTTTTTGTTCTATATTACAAAATGTTACTTTAGAAGAAAAATGTATAGTCTCCTCTACATAATCCCTTAGGCCACAATCAATATCAGTTAACAAGTTTTAGCTACTACAATTTAAAGGTGCCTTGAACTGCTGTTAAGGAGATGAACTAAATGTAATTTATCCAGTTAATATATTAGTAGAACCAGTATAACCAAAAAAAAGGAAAAAAAAAAAGGAAAAAAAAAAAAAAAGCAACTGTAGCATTTATCAATCAAATCAGAGAAATCCCATTAAATCAAGGAGAACTAAGGAACAAATTGTACTATGATTCTTTTGTACTGAAAAAACACCCGATGAACAAACTTCATGGATATGTATTTTAAGCATTCAGGAGCTTCTTAGAATTGGTGTTCGAGAAAAAAAGCACAGAGCTAACTTTCTATCCAAGAAATTTCATTGAAAAATACCACACAAGCAGAACGATTGAAGGAATAACATTATGAACAAGTCAAATGCTATTATGGGCCAAGTAAATAGTATTTTATATAGTACATAGTATGTTATTTAAGTGTCTGGACACACCTCACTCAAATAAGGCAAATAAGAACTGTATGCATTTTAACTGCATCAGAGTTTAACCTGCATCAATTGGCACTTGACTAAGCAGGCTGCAAAATACAGTGCGTTCATAAAGTATTCAGACCCCCTTCACTTTTTTCAATTTTGTTATGTTTCAGCCTGATACTACAGTTGTTTAAATTAATTTTTCTCATCAACTTACACTCAGCACCCCATAATGACAAAGTGAAAAACCGAATTTTATGTTCTATATGAAAAAGGAAAAACTGAAATATCACATTGGTTTAAGTATTCAGACCCTTTGCAACAACACTTGAAATTCAGCTCAGGTGCCTCCCATTTCTCTTGATCATTGCCGAGATGTTTCTACACCTTGATTGTAGTCCACCTGGGGTAAATTAAACTGACCGGACAGGATTTGAAATGGCACACACCTCCCTATAAAAAGGCCTCACAGCTGACAATGCATACTGTATCAGAGCAAAAGCCATGAGGTCAAAAGGAACTCCCTGCAGAGCTCAGATACGGTATTATTGCAAGGCACAGTACTGGGGTAGGCTACATAAAAATTTCTGTTGCACTGAAGGTTCCCAAGAGCACAATGGCCTTCATAATTCTCAAATGGAAGAAGTTTGGTACAACCAACTCTTCCAAGAGCTGGTTGCCCGGCCAAACTGAGCAAGGGGGGGGGGGGGGGGTGTGGCAGGCGCAGCACCCTTTGGTGCCTTGTGCGCTGTGGCATTAGAAAAAAATTATGCAATTGCTGTTTCTTTGTTTAATTTCGACTGACTTTACGCTGTAATTCCTCCAATGCCGCTCTATGGATGCAGTAGGTTTAAAGAGAACACCGAATACTTTAGTTAACTTCTTTAATAACTTCAATCTTCTTCATATAACTGCTTACAATGGCTTGTTTCATTTATCATACAGTAGCTTATTTCTTTATATTACAGTGGTTTGATTTGATAGCGTGATAAATTTGTTAGATTCGGTAAATTTGTAAGTTCGATTCGATTCGATAAGTTCGGTGGAACTACAAGTAAACACACACAACAGTTTCAACACACAGATCCACCTGCACTGCCAAACAATAGAGGAACACACAAGTGCATTAAATACCTATTTGGCCTTCTCTGCCTCCATAAAGCTTTTCTGATTGGAACTGTCTGTTTCCTCCTCTGTCTGGTGAGCATGTGTCTCTAGAAAATCCTAGCAGGGAGTTTTACACAGGCATAGATGTGAAACTGGCTGGGATTGGTTAAGGCTCTGTACAGTGTGAGGCTGTCTGTGATTGGCTCACCTTATACTAACTCTTAAAGGCATATTTTCCTTTTCTGCTTCTGCTAACACAGTGGTTCTTAACCTTGTTGGAGGTACTGAACCCCACCAGTTTCATATGCGCATTCACCGAACCCTTCTTAATTGGAAAAATAAAATATGATTTTTAAAATTCAAAACATAGGTATATATTTAGGTATATATTTATACATAGGTGCACAAAATGAACAAAACCGTTAAGAACAAAGAACAAAACCATTAAAAACATGATTTTCACACAAAAACATAATAATGAATATTTACTGCACGAATCATATGAGTCGGGTGTGGGTCTTCACCTCCGCCGAACCCGCGAGACTGACTCACCGAACCCCTGGGGTTCGATCGAACCCAGGTTAAGAACCACTGTGCTAACACAATGAATATATAAATGTCATATAACAATCAAAGACATAAATTACAGCAATGATTCTGCTTTTGGCTTTAACATATGCACATATATACTGTACTAAGGTTATTGGCAGGTTTGGTATACACATATATGTGAACCATATTAACAATCTAGGACTGGTCTTAGCTGGCCAGCTACAGGGGGGGCATTAGTAAGAGAGGTGACCAAGACCCCGATGGTCACTCTGACTGAGCTCCAGAGATCCTGTGTGGAGATGGGACAGAGTTCCAGAAGGACAACCATCACTGCAGCCCTCCACTGATCTGGGATTTATGGCATAGTGGACAGACAGAAACCTCTCCTAAACACATGAAAGCCTGCTTCTAATTTGCAAAAAAGCACCTGAAGGACTCTCAGACTGAGGAACAAGATTCTCTGGTCTAATGAAACCAAGATTGAACTGTTTGGCTTCAATACTAAATGTTATGTCTGGAGGAAATCAGGCACCGCTCATCACCTGCCCAATACCATCCCAACAGTGAAGCATGGTGGTATCAGCAGGGACTGGGAGACTGGTCAGGTTTGAGAGAAAGTTGAATGGTTGAATGAAGCAAAGTACTCAATGAAAACCTGTTTCTCAGTGCTCTGGACCTCAGATTGGACTGAAGGTTCACCTTCTAACATGACAACAATTCTAAGCACACAGACAACACAGGAGTGGCTTAGGGACAACTCTGTGACTGTCCTAGAGTGGCCCTGCCAGATCCTTGACTGGTACCTTATTGAATATCTTTGGAGAGACCTAAAAAAGGCTGTCTGATGGTCCTTATCCAACCTGACTGAGCTTGAGAGGATTTGCAAAGAACAATTGCAGAGAATGCTGCCAAAGGTGCTTCAACAAAGCAGAGTCTGAATGCTTAAGTACAAGTGACATTTCCGTTTCTTGTTTTTAATTATTATTATTATATGATTTTATACGGGATTTATATTAATAATAAATTAATAAATTTGAAATTAGACATTTCTAAAATCCTGTTTTAACTTTGTCGTTATGGGGTATTGAGTGTACATTAATGAGAAATAAATTAATTTAAACAACTGTAATATCAGGCTGCCATATAATAAGTGAAGGGGGTCTGAATACTTTACGAAGTATGGCAGACTGGGGTGACCACCATACTTTCAGTACTAGCATATTCAAAATCATTGAGACAGATCCTCAGTGCAGTTGAGCTCCCTCCTGCCGATGCAGCTGTCACACAGACCAAGGAGTTTTGTGGCTGGGTGAGTGGATCCTGATGGGAATTCCCTATCAGGTCCACTCTCCTTGTGACTGACAGCAGACAGTTGGTAAATGCCTTAGCCAGTAAGCAGCCTGCTATTGCCCATGGGATCCGGCCACTACCTGCTATTAATCACAAGGTATAACAAGACTTGTTGCGGAATTAGACCCTCAGCTTCATCAGACTCTGCCCACATCACTGGCCACTAGCAGCTTATTGGCTGTGACGCTGACAATGTCCTGAACAACCACTGGCACAGCAGCATACAGAGCCATATGCTCTGTCTCTGCACGCCAACTTGGCCACTGTGGAATGAAAAAAAACCCCCAAAAAACAACCAAGGTGGATAGAGGAATTCTGCCTGCGAAGACATTGTACTGACAGCGGGGGACTTGCCGCTGTTAGAATACACTGATCAGCAGCTCAGTTCCTGCTGAACCGGTCAAATTTCAATTAATCTACAGTCAGCTTAAGAGTTGGTCTTAAAATGGGAGTAAAGGCAAAACCTAACTCTAAACCTACTCTAAGCCAAATCTATCCAGCCCTGTAAAGAAAACCCACTATACTTACCTGTTCTGCAGCTGCTCCGGTCCGGTCTCCAGCAGCGCCCTCTGTGTGCTGGTAACAGCCGACAACAGCTGAGAAATGCCTGAGAAGTGACGTCACCCACTTATCAAGTTACTATGGGGCTTTCATTGTTGGCTGCCTCTCCTGCACACTCCTATGCGCTTAAGCTGCAGCTGACAGCTCAGCGTGGGACTAGACCAGAGTGACTGCAGAACAGGTCAGTATATTGATTTTTTCTTTATAAGGCTAGATAGATTAGGCTTAGAATGTGGCTGAGAGTAGGTTTAGAGTTAGTTAGGATTTGCTTTTACTTCCACTTTAATTACCTCCAGTTTTGTTATCTCCAATTGTTATCTACAAACTGGAAGTAATTCGATTTGAATGTAGTGCAGCCATAATGACACTTTGTAAAAGTAGCACTACGAGGAGCTACCTGAATCTACCTTCACATCTTGGGAAAGCCACCAAACTGGTTGCAGGGATTTTTGATTCTGGCGCAGGTTATTTTAAAAAGGGGTCATACCGCCTGGAAAGCATTGTTAGTATTTTATTAAATTTCCCTGTGTGTGATTGAATTCTCACTATTTAAAGCTGAATTCCAGGAATTTAGACACTTTGTAATATATGCTGGCTTACTATGAATTCCTATGAGAAGTTCAACTAGGTCAGGGGTAGACAACCTGTGGCTCTCTAGCTGTTGTGGAACTACATTTCCCATGAGGCATTGCAACATTACAAAACTGACAGTTACAGCTATGACTTGCAGAGGCATGATGGAACTTGTAGTCCTGCAACAGCTGGAGAGCCGCAGCTTGCCTACCCCTGAACTAGGTGCATGTTCCTTCCCAGTCTTATCTCTTTATTTACAATTGACAGTTTTATGGAGCCCAAGCAGTAAATCTATCCTCTACTACCTGAGCTCTGATGCTGGACCGTATCCTAGGGAAAGCTATTGTGCCCCTCCTGCCCTATCACAGAGCGTTTTGTGTTATGTAAACCTATTCACAGAACACAAAGCCTTCTGTAATTGGCAGCAGAGGGGAGGCCCAGGAAAATGTACTCCCAAGCTACCATAAAACTGTCAGATCTATATGAAGTAGATAAATCCAGGGACTGACTTAACCACTAGTATGCCTGCACATATTACAAAGTGGCTGAATTCCTGGAGTTCAGGTGTCATACATGAGGGAAGGGGTCAACATGCAACAGATTTTAGAAATACTGGAGTATGTTGAGGCACAGCTCCCCGCAAACACAAAAAGACCATTAAATCTAGGGATGTGTTAATTTAAAAAAGCAACTGAACAGCACAGTAGGACTGGGAGAGGAGTAGTCAGCAATGTTAGTCAAGCAAGCTTTACTGCATGGCACATTACAGGCAATCTGAAATTTCATACAGATTCTGTATAAGATAGCAGTTAGACATACAGACAAAATTTAACTGCCAAAATATCTTCAATACAGATTACTAAATTCAAATTTGAAGTAGCTCATGTGAATGAGATCTGGGCCCCATCACCCATTGAAGCACAAGCTCAGAGATGATAGAACTCAACACCATTAGGCTAAGGGCTCATTCACAAAAGTGCATTGCAGCCACATGCAGTAAAGTAAATGGCTTACCGCAATACATGACAATGTAGCATGCATATGTCAAAGTAAATAGAATGGCAATTAACTATAGGAAGGCACCTGTGCTTCTCAGCAACGCACCACAACCATTCACAATGATATGCCTTGTAGTGCACTGCAAAAACAAATGCGGCAAGCCTTAAATTTTCCTGCATTGAGGTGTGTTACAATCCATTTATTTTGAATAGAATGCCCAACTGGCCACACTGCAGTGTGCCTCAATGCATAGCACAAAACCCTGTGTGCACATGTGATCAGGTGTAAATGGATCCTTAAAATGTCACAAAACAACAGAAAGTTGAAGCACCAGAAAAAGAAACACCTTAAAATAGCTTTGAATATTTTTGGCTGGACACACACAGTAGCTAAATATGCATATTTGAGCCAAAGAAGAAGGTAAAGAATAATAATACAGTCCATCCCCCACAGTTATTACCTTTTGTACCACTAGCCCCTCCCTCTTAGATTGTAAGCTCCAAGGAGCAGGGCCCTCCGAACCCTCTTGTATTGAACTGTATTGTTGCTGTATTGTCTCCCATTATATATTGTAAAGCAATGAGCAAACTGTTGGTGCTATATAAATCATGTATAATAATAATAATAATAAAGAAGTACTCATCGGACACTCCAAGCAACAGCTTGTCTCATGAGGAAACAATCATATGCTGCATATGTCTACATATACAGTACATACATACATACATACATACACACATACACACTGAAATTACCTTCAGGAGGTCTGGAACAACAAATGCATTCAGCTGGACTTCGTTTTTTGGTAAGGTGGTTTCAGCACTGCCCCCAGCAGAAACCACAAGCTTGATTGTGACTGCAAAGTAACACACATATGTTCAATTGAGATCTTTACATTTACAATCTAAATTCTTAAACAACACATAAAGGACAAGTTTTCTCTGTTATAGCCAAGATCGAAAAGAATTTGGTCACGTGATCACTGCTAAAAGGCAGTACCAGAGTTTAGACTGACTGCTCCTCCCCTTTGGCAGAGATCATGCGACTAAAAAAAATTAGCCAGGTAACCAGCACTGAAGAGATCTGAGGTCGCATTTTCTCCAGGAGAAACAAGCAGTTCACCCCTTCTATATAGCTGGCCATAGATTAGCTTTTTTTTGTTCAGTTGGGGATTATACAAAAAAAACCAAACAGATTCCACCATCCACACAAAGGAACATTGTATTCTTAGAGCAGTACTTAGTGCTGTCAGAATACAGTGATCAGTGGTTACAGCTGTTAATCAACAATGTTAATTAGTCAGAAGTTGAACATGGATGGCCACACACTGAACGAAATTCAGCTGGTCCCTGCTGAAATATCCCATCTATGGCCACCTTTAACCTGGGTACACGCGGTCCGAATATCGGCCTGTTCAGCAGGAAGCGACCATTCAGACCATGTGTACAGCTGTCCTTCCAACAGAAGCCAGTCAAAGAACCTTTTGTCGAACTCACATGCTGGAAAACCAGCAACCGATCATTGGTGTGTTCTGGCAGGCACAGCGGGAGAGATCACTGCACCAACATGGCATAGTTAGTACAGCGATCTCTCTGTTTTTTTTTTTGTTCAGCCCGAATGTGTGTACCAACCTTTACTCCTCTGTATTTATCCATCCTAGTAAAACTGTTTACATAGATTTAGTTAACATTTGACAATAGGTGCAATTTAAACTAGACGCTACCTCAGATCAGCTGGACTACCACAATCTTGTGACATGGAATGTTAAAAACAAACAGAACTGTTTAATAAAGAGTAAATAAAACATCAAAGATAAAGATTACAATGGAATATCAACCAGCAGTTATTTGAGTTGGCATAACGCAAAACAAACATTTCCACTCAACAATGGCAGCAATGTACTACAAGTTGAATGCAGGCTCATAGTGCTAATATAATTTTGGCAAAAAATCTACAGTTTTGCCTTGAACAGTGCTTTATGTCAGCCAAGAATCTTATTCTTGTAAGTTCCCCATGGCAGCAACAAGCCTTCTGGTATATTCATATTATAGAACACCTTCAAATGCAAAGCTTTATAGCAGAAGTCTGGACAGTAAAATTATCCGCAGGGTGCCCAGTGCAATTTTATAATGTGGATTGTATTTTAATTTAAATTTTAATTATTAAAAAATATTTTCTAGGTACCTTTTATCTGGATTCCCATGCTACTGGCATCCTCATTGGTGAAAAATGTGATGGCCTCTCAGGAGGCAGTGAGGCGACTGGTGATTGTAATATGTATAAGCCTAACAGTATAGTCTGGTCACTAAAAACTAAAGGTGAGTACACACGGATCGAAATTCAGTAGTAGGGACTGGCCGAATTTCGATCCTTGAAGTCAATCTGTTGATCAACTTTTGTCGAACTGGACTGTCGGAAAACTTTCAGTGGCTGCAGAGATGATCAGTGTACATTTACAGTGGAGGAGTCCCCGCTGTCAGAATACAATAGCACAGTGTGTGTGTATGTGTGTGGGAGGGGTTGACAGGGGCATGTATGAGTGTTATGTCCAGCACAAAAAACACAAAGGTGTTCAGCACACCTATTGGGGCTTGTTTACACTAGCTTCAAAACATGGCATTGGACATGCTTTTTTAAAGTAGTCTGAAAACCAGTCAAAGCACCTGTCACTACATAAAATAGCCTACAGTCTTGTTTATATGTTGTGTTTGCTTTTCTTCAAAAATAATACCCCATGTCGCTTTAGTGGTGCTTCAAATCATCTTCAAAGCCCCCATAGAAATCTATGGCAAAGCCACTTACAGCTTTTAAGAGGCTTTTATTCAGTTTTAGCTTCGCTTTCTTTTGGGGGTATTGCAGGTATGAGATATCAACACACACAGAGCATCTGCCAAGCTTCAGTAAAGCTTCAAAAAAGCACAACCAAAGCATCATCGAAACACCACAAAAGAATCATCAAAGAAGTATTTATTTATTTATTTCAGGTATCAAATGACGATCTGACATAGATGGGGTGCCACAGTCTACATTGGAGCCTACCATACCATTGGCATGGGCATAATAACTGACAAGCAATGCCCCAATCACTCCTCGGAGCCTAAACCTTGCACACAATGAGAATATCAGACAAATTATCGGCATTTTTTTTTTTTTTTTGCATGCTTATCTCATATCGAAAATTAAGAGGTTACTAAAGTTCTGAAAATTCTCATGACAGAATACAACTTCGTTAGTGATGTGATTATTTATTACAGGTACTTATATAGTACCATCAATGTACGCAGCGCTTTACATATATATTGTACATTCACATCAGTCCCTGCTCTCAAGGGGTGTACAATCTAAGGTCCCTAACCTACATTCATACACACACGTATTAGGGCCAATTTTAGACAAGAGCCAATTAACCTACCAGCATGTCTTTGGAGTGTGGGAGGAAACCGGAGTACCCGAAGGAAACCCACGCAGTCAAAGGGAGAACATGCAAACTCCAGGCAGGTGGTGTCGTGGTTGGGATTTGAACCAACGACCCCAGTACTGCCAGGCGCAAGTGCTAACCATTTAGCCACTGTGCTGCCCATAAGTATCAAAAACACATAAAAAATCATGTTGAAGCTGTAGGTGCTTTAATATGTGTTGAAGTCGAAGCAAGTGTAAACGAACCCTTGTTTTGCTTCTGAAAGTAGTTACCTCGTGCATTAAACAATTATAACTTATATATCCTGCTTCGCTAGATATATGTACAAGGCTTATAAATACATCTACAGTATATAATAGGGATACCATCCTCTTGTAAACAACATATTTATCATTTTAATAAACTGACCTAAACTATTAGGATATTTTAAACAATGCTTGCACCACTTGTTATTTCATTTAGGTAATTATATATATATATATATATATATATATATATATATATATATATATATATATATATATATATACTGCATTCAATTTTTTTTCTGATAATGCGCTGCTCAAAAAAAGTAAAGGAACGCTTTGAAACCATCAGATCTCAATGGGGAAAAATATCATGCTGAATATCTATACTGATATGGACTGGGTAATGTGTTAGGAACACAAGGATGCCCCATCGTTTGATGGAAATGAAAATTATCAACCTACAGAGGACTGAATTCAAAGACACCCCGAAAATCAAAGTGAAAAAATGAAAAAGCACAATAATTATTTTGCTGAAATTTCATTGCAACAACTCAAAATGCTACTCAGTAGTTTGTATGGCCCCATGTGCTTGTATGCATGCCTGACAACGTCGGTGCATGCTCCTAATGAGACGACGGATGGTGTCCTGGTGTATTTCCTTCTAGATCTGGACCAAGGCATCAATGAGCTCCTGGTCAGTCTGAGGTACAACCTGGTGGCGTCGGATGGACCGAAACATTACATGATATCCCAGAGGTGTTCTATTGGAATCAGGTCAGGTGAGCGTGGGGGCCATTCAGCGGTATCAATTTCTTCATCCTCCAGGAACTGCCTGCATACTCTCACCACATGAGGCAGGGCATTGTCATGCACCAGGAAGAACCCAGGACCCACTGTACCAGCATAGGGTCTGACAATGGATCCAAGGATTTCATCCCGATACCGAATGGCAGTCAGGGTGCCATTGTCCAGCCTATAGAGGTCTGTGCGTCCCTCCATGGATATGCCTCCCAAGACCATCACTGACCCACCACCAAAAACGGTCATGCTGAATGATGTTATAGGCAGCATAATGTTCTCCACGGCTTTTCCAGACCCTTTCACGTCTGTCACATATGCTGAGGGTGAACCAGCTCCCATCTCTATGGTACCGGGCAGTGAGCACAGGGCCTACTAGAGAACGTCAGGCCCTCAGGCCACCCTCATGAAGTCTGTTTCTGATTGTTTGGTCAGAGACATTCACACCAGTGGCCTGCTAGAGGTCATTTTGAAGGGCTCTGGCAGTGCTCATCCTGTTCCTTCTTGCACAAAGGAGCAGATACCAGTCCTGCTGATGGGTTAAGGACCTTCTACTCCCTGTCCACCTTTCCTAGAGTAACTGCCTGTCTCCTGGAATCTCCTCCGTGCTCTTGAGACTGTGCTGGGAGACACAGCAAACCGTCTGGCAATGGCACGTACTGATGTGCCATCCTGGAGGAGCTGGACTGCCTGTGCAACCTCTGTAAGGTCCAGGTATTGCCTCATGCTACCAGTAGTGACACTGACCCTAGCCAAATGCAAAACTAGTGAAAAACAGTCAGAAAAGATGAGTAAGGAAAAACATGTCAGTGGCCTCCACCCGTAAAACCATTCCTGTTTTGGGGGTCATCTCATTGTTGCCCATCTAGTGCACCTGTTAATTTCATTAACACCAAAGCAGCTGAAAACTGATTAACAACTCCTTTTCTAAGTTTAATTGACTTGATGCTATACTCTGATTAAAAAGTGTTCCTTTAATTTCATTGAGCGGTGTATATATTCATATATATTCCTCAAACGTTAATCTCATAGGGCATGTAAAAAACCAAAAGACCAAAACCACTCAATTTGGCAGAAGAAATGCATTAAGGGCTCTCATGTGTAAAAATTAGGCAGGAAGGAAATACAAAAGAAAGCGAACATATGTACTTGTTCTTTTTAAGTTTGATTTGAGTTTGGCAAAAGGATAATGTAAGGTCAGGGGAATTGCTTTGTTTGAATAAAGGGTACAAAAAAAAGTATTTCACAAAGAAGACAATGAATTACAGGACATCAAAGAGCTGAAACAATAAAAAAGGATCCTGAATATTAATTATTAGCTATAGGGTTGCCTTCTGGCCTGGTATATAGGAACACAGGTTATTTCTCAGGAAGAATGGAATGAACCAGAGCTACTGGCTTCTCCTATCCAGTTAAATTCAATGCAGAGGAAGGCCCTGTAGACACATAAGATTTCTAGTCTCCTGTAGCGCTATGCCTCTGAATAAATTGCTTTGAAGCTGCTGAACATGCTTTTCCAGACAAGTCCACTTGTTGCTGCAACACAGATGCTGGAATAAAAACTTAGAAATGCTCAAAAACCACTGGTGTTAAATAGTAGTTTTACATCTTCTGAATTGAATACATCAATGAGGTTAACATGCAACTGGATTTCAGAAATACTTAGCCCGGATTCACATTTGTGTGGGCCGGTTTTGACAGTTTGATTTCAGCCCCCTCCAATGCGACTTTGTTCAGCTATTCCAGTGCAAAGTGTATAACAATGGAAATTGCACCTGAACCAGGCTCAAAATCATACCGGACTCTTTTTGAAATACGCAATGACCGGCCCGCACATGGTTGAAAAGGCTGCAGGTTCACATGTCATCCAATTGATATATACACTATACTGCCAAAAGTATTGGGACAACCCTCCAAATCATTGAATTCAGGTGTTCCAATCACCTCCATGGCCAAAGGTGTATAAAATTAAGCACCTAGGCATGCAGACTGCTTAAAGGTGAAGTTGCTGGGCATAGAATTGTCAGCCAAACAATGGCTGCATCCACAGAGATGCAGCCACTGCAATACAATAGGTGTCAGGAGAGATTTATCAATGCATGCTGTTTAGTGTGGATGGGGCAATCAAATGATTTCTCTCATTCAAAGCTGAACTAGAAAAATCTTACAGTCTATGGCCAGCTTTACAGATGCAAAATAGCAGTGAGATGTGAAGTGTTGCCACAAGGACAGGCAGTGAGGAAAACATTATTTAAAGAGCAATAGGAAAAAAATACCCTTGCTGCTGCTCCTTTTGCAACAAAAGCTGGCCATACATGGATAGAACATAGTTTGAAAAAAGGTTCAATAAGCTCGATCGTTCAACTTTAGAAATGTTAGCAGGCCTATTTCAATTCTTGAAATACCGGTACAAAGTTTTTGCGGAAAGAACGACCCATCATGACGGAATTTTGTTGTAATCAAATTATTTTCTAAACATTAGTAGTGGAATCGACTGAATTTGAAAAAAACGTACAGTGTATGTACGTACGAAAATGTTATCCTGGAATCCTGTGATCGATCAACAAAAAATTTACAATTTATGTTGTTAATAATCAATAATATGTCGACAAATGTGGAAAACAATTCAATACAATGCTGGCGTTACCACACAGGCTTTCGACAGATCTTTATAAAGAAAGCTAACATTTTTTCAAACGATTTTCTATGTATGGCCAGCTTAACCCTTTTCTTTCTTCAGAAAGGAAAGGAATAGGGTCCCTGTCAGGTTTATTGGTGTCTAAGTCTTCCTGCCCCATTGATGTCTGTTAATGCTTTTGTCCCAGTGTCACAAAATCTGGCAGATATTCTAACTATGTTGTGTTGGGACTTTTGCATCCACATTTCTTTGAAGAATTTTGATTAAAAAAGCAGAAGACACAAAAGTCTTTTTCAGGAAATAGCATTTAGAAACAACATTTACACTGAAGATGTCAAAGTTAACCAAAACCACTATCAAGGAAGCACTCAAAAAAAAAAAAAAAAAAAAAAAAAATCGACAAACTGTATACAGTATATGCAAAAATAAAATTTACCTGGTGTTGTAGTTCTGGTAGTTGTAGGAACTGGAGTTGGATGTGAACTTGTATTGCTTGGTATTAAGAATGGTGCTGATGTGACTGTGTCTGGATTTTCTTCACCAGTGTCTTGCAATGCTTCAGATGGCAGTGAACTAGTGGTATTGACACTGGCAGATGGCCTTGTTGTAAGGGGACTCTCAGGTAATGACAATGTGCTCGGCATTAATGACGGTGTGTGTAGCTAGAATGACATCAAGATATGCATATAAAGTATCATGTTTTCAATGTATATACATAAAACAGCATAGCTGATCAAAATGTCACAAAATGAAAATACGAAATAATATTTCCTATATTATGAAAAGAGATTAAATGTTTGATATCTTATGTGGCCCCAACCGTCAATCATTTTTGGATACTTGCATACCCCATGATCCCCATTATAAAACAAATAATTATAATGTAATTAAAAGAGATCAATAACAATCTTACGTATAAATACTGGACAATAAAGTCTAATTTTAAAAAAATAACAAAAATGGTTTAACCCAAAAATACTGTAACATATTGTAAAATGCTAGAGGAATACAATAGATTATGAAGGTCTATAATCTATATCACTCGTGTTTTATCCCATTTAAAATTAAAGAAAAAAAAAAAGTAAACTTGGCAAAAACAATAAGACGTTCAATATTCTTGTACTTCCAAGTGATATTTTGTACTACAGGTGCATCTTAATAAATTACAATATCATCATCAAAAAGTTAATTTTTTCCAGTAATTCAATTCAAAAAGCGAAACTCATATACTGTATAGATTCATTACACAAAGAGTGATATATTTCAAGCATTTCTTTCTTTTAATTAGACCATTCAGTGAAGGTGGGCCCTCATACCCTTGCTGCTGGCCCTTACTCAGAAAGAAATCAAATACCGCTGGTCCTTCCCTTTCCATCTTGCCTTCTCTTTCCAGAACAAGGCTTATAGCTTCTCATCCTTCCAGGAGGGGAAATGTCTCCTACTGCAGCTGGGAATCATCACTCAGGATCCCTCTTCTTCTTCTCTATATCACAGTGGTTCCGGTTCCTCTAAAACGCAGTTTGCCACCACGTCTGATTTCACCTTTGTGGCAAGGATCCGAGTCTAGAAGAACCAGGGACTCCCCCTTCACCCGTGATGCCCTGCAAGCAACTCAACGTATTTTCCACTTTATCCATGTGTTGGAATGGGATATTTTTGATATCAGAGGACTTCTGTGGGACTCATGTTGACAATTATAAACCTTCTTCTGTTAACTGCAAGTTATAGATCAATCATATTGATTGGGTTTCCCAGTTTTTGTTCTGCTGAGGTTTGTCTCCTGGGCCCGGGGGGCCCTAGGTTTCTTTGTGGGTTTCTGAGGTCTGGAGGATTAAGGGGGCGCTCCTCCTGGGGCCAGCCTGCTAAGGTGGCGGTGGGGGTCTCCGGAGGTGGTAAGGCTGGCCAGTCCTCTTCAGTTTTCTGAATGGAGCGTTATTTAGTAATAGTTGTGGCTTCTATGGTGGCTGATAGGCTGGTCTGGGGTGGCAGGCTGCCCCACCTGATTCATTGTGCCTTGTGTGACACTGTCCAACAGACAAGACATACCTGTGCTAAGATCCCAACAGCTAGTACATTGCTAGTACATTTGAGCACATACCTGTGATTAAATCCCTATAACTAGTACATTGCCAATATTGGGGAAAAGACAAATTGGGGGGAGTGCTCTCCCCCACTTTGTCTTTTCCCCTATATTGGCAATGTGTCCACAGTAGCATTTGCATAGGCAGAGCAGAGTAGGACTGGCCATAGAGGGATTACTTTGACGCAGTTGGCCAGCTTAAACATGTATTGCAATATGTGTGAACTAAATATTCCTATTTTTTATTCCAAAGTTTGCTGGAAAGGGTATATACTAGTGTGCAGAGGGCTCCTTCAGAATTTCTTGTGTGACACTGTGGCTCAGGAAGTGGTCCATTGTTAGATGGACCATGATTTTTCAGGGTACAGTCAGTGGTCTTCCCCACTTGCCTTACATTGTCTGGTTGTATTTCTTTATGTTCTTCATATCCTTTTCTCATTCCGCTTCTTTTCTTTCTCTTGTATCCGGAGTTGAGGTGCCTGTTCCCCCAAGGATTCTCACTGAGGTTCGGAGTTATTTCTGGTCCAGCGGTCTCCAGTACGGGAGCTTCTCTGTTAAAGTTAGAAACTATCAGAATATGTGGATTCCTATGTATTCATTATCATCCATTCTCTTTTACTAGTCTATTTTGATACTAATGATAATTATATGTTTTGTTCTGTCGAAACTTCAATAAAAATCTATTGAAAGTAAAATAAAAACCTGGGAGAGTGCCTCTCTGCATGGAAAGGTTTTATTGCCAAAGCTTAAAGTGATACTAAACCGAGACCCCTGCATTCACTATAGCTGGTCTCCCACAGTACACAGAACATGGAAGTGCAATTATTTTAGTAAATATAAACTGCTAAATACCTTTTCTCATCAGCAGTTAGAGCAGTCTTATGACTTCAACAGAGCACTAGTTAAAGTTTGTAGGAGGAGTTTTCTTTCTGCTCTAGGAGGATGTGAAACCCTTCACCTCTGTCTGGACAGTGCTGATTGGCCCTGTGCTGATCACATGCACTCTCCCAAGAAAAAAAAAACAAAAACCTCTCTAGCAATGCACACCAAACTGAGCATGTGCATGTGACTATGGATTGTCTGTATCAGATGGTCATTTCAACAAGATGAGTGGCAGAGAAGAAAGGACCAATCAGCCTTTTTACACAATGCAGAGGATTAACCCCTTAGGTTCCACAGTGAGTATAACAAGCATGCTTTACTGTATACACAGACTGATTTTATTGTTGTGGGTTTAAGAACACTTTAATTGAACAAGCTGAACTTAGAAGCTAATTGGTTACCATGCACAGCTGCACCAGATTTTGCACTATTAATTTTTAGTAAAGCAACCCCTTAAAGTCAACTTGTCACAAACCTGGATAACTCATTTGGCATATTACAATACGCATACAGTGTACAAGCAGAGGTTACCTTAACCACTTTAATATAGCGCACTTTTCGCCAATTTTCAGATTTCAGCAATGTCACACTTTGAATGACAATTGCGCAGTCTTGCAACAATGTACAAAATACATTTTTAGCATTTTGTTCACACAAATAGAGCTTTGTTTTGGTGGTATTTGATCACCACTGGGTTTTTAATTTTTTGCCAAATAAACAAAAAAAGACCAAAAATTGTGAAACAAAATGCGTTTTTCTTTGTTTTGTTATAAAATTTTGCAAATAAATTTTCTTCATAAATTTAGGTCAAAATGTATTCTGGTACATTTCTTTGGGGAAAAATAACCCAAATCAGTGTATATTATTTAGTCTGTAGGAAAGTTATAGAGTTCACAAACTATGGTATATATCTTAAAAATCGATCAATTCTGCTGTACTGATGGTCTAATTTCTTAAAGCCCAAAAATGTCAGGACAGTACAAATATTAGTGGTGCACTGAAATTAAAATTCTGAGGCTGAAACCGAAACCAGTTTTAAAAATGTATATATTAAAAAAAAAACACTTTAATGATATAATGAAAAAAACAAAACAATATATACCCCAATGCTTTTGTAAAATATGAAAGATGATGTTACGCCGAGTAAATGGATACCCAACATGTCATGCTTTAAAATTGCGCAGGCTTGTGGAATGGCGTCAAACTATGGTACTTAAAAATCTCCATGACTGACGCTTCAAAACTTTCTACAGGTTACCAGTGTAAAGTTACAGAAGAGGTCTAGTACTAGAATTATTGCTCTTGCTCTGACATTCGTGGCGATACCTCACATGGTTTGAACACCGTTTACATGTGTGGGCGTGGCCTATTTATGTGTTCACCATTCACGGGGGGATGGGGATTTTTTTTTTGTTTTTACAATGTCCCTTTAAAAAAAAAAAAAATTAACCACTTTTGTTCCCATCACAAGAAATGCATGCATACCTTGTGATAGAAATAATTAGTGACAGGTCCTCTTTATGAAGAGATATGGGGTGAATACGACCCCACATCTCTCCTTTACAATGTAAAGCATTAGATAAAAAAAAGCATTGATCTAGTGCTTTTTTTTTTTAAAAAAAAAAATGGCCTTGTTTACAAGGCACTGGAAGTGCCATCGCTCCGGTCATCCAAGGGCATAGAGATGAGTGGAGGCCATCTTTCCTTCACTTATCTCTATGCCCAGCGCCGGGATCGTTCAGTGGTTTCTCAGGTAAGTCTGAGAACTACCAAACGACGGCTGGTGGCGGGGTTATTTTCGGCACCTGTATCAGTGCTTATTTTCATATTGGCCATATAGGGGTGTTTCCGGCCGAAACGTTTCAGCCACCGAAATTTCGGTGCACCCCAAAAACATCCCCCAAATTACCCCTTTTTGGAAAGTAGATAGTCTGAGGTATTTTGTAAGAGGCATGGTGAGTTTTTTGATGTTGTAATTTTTTGTCATATTTTGTGGAAAATTATGAAATAAAAAAAAAAAAAAACCAAAGATTTTCACAATATATATTTTTTGTTACCAATGCAGTACAGTGTCATCATATAATTGGTGTGCTGGTGATCAGGGACACTGATTGGTGACAGTATGAAAAAAAGCAACATTTTTTTTTTTATAATTTTTTAAAATATTTTATTAATTTTTTTAATGATTTTTTTTTTCTAACATATTATGACCAGAGTAATATATTGTTGCCATAGTAAACATTGTACTACTGTGGGGAAGTGATCAGTAGTTTTTTTTTTTTTTTTTTTACACATTATGATTGCTTATAGAAATGAATGTCATTGCTGTAAACAAGCATTTTACTGGATTCATTCAGTTTGTTTTGTTGTGATTGGCTACAGCTAATTAGATGACACAGATGGGCTATGATTGTCCCAGTCTGTACCATATGATCACTGTGACCTATCTCAGCTAGCAGCACAATTGTATACAATGGATGGCATGAAAGAAAGCAATTGTCATGTGACCTGTTGTGATTGCCAGAAGGTCATATGACCTCCACCCATATCAAAGAAAGGCCTGTCTAGCCATCATTTCACTACAGCCGCCAAACACCCCCTGCTTCACTATATCTGATCTCCCACAGTACACACAACATGGTAATGCAATTATTTTAGTGAATATAAACTGCTAAATACCTTTTCTCATCAGCAGTTACA